CTAATGGTGGGTAATCATTTCTAGCAGTGTCTGTATTAATTGCCAATTTTCTTTATGCCACTTATCAGCATAATGGAAATGTATGGTTAGTTGTAGCACAGAGAAAAATGAGGACTGGAAAGAATCTATTTCCTGGACAAGTCACCCTCTTCGCCTTGATCAGGATCCTGAGCCTAGGATTTCTGCACGTCCCATCTTACCCATCCTGATATTCCTGTTTTCTTTTCTACACATCACTTTACTGTCAGGGGATAACAATGGGATCTTGCCCCCCTTCAAAAAAAAAAAAAAAAAAAGGAAGCTGGGACCAGCACGGTGGCATAGCAAGCAAGTTAAGCCACAGACCGCAGTGGTGGCATCCCAGCTTTTGACAATGCGACTGGGAAAACAACAGAATATGGCCCAAATCCTTGGGAGACCTGGAAGAAGTTATTGGCTTCTGGTTTCAGACTGGTCTAGCTTTGGCCATTATGACCATTTTGGGAGTGAATCAGTGGATGGAAGATTCTCCCTCTCTCTCTTTATCTTTCTATTTCTCCCTCTCTGTGACTATGCCTTTCAAATAAATAAACTAAACCTTTGTTATTAAAAAGTGAGGCCTTCCTGCTCTAGCCATAGTAGTAGAGCAACAGGGATCATGTTCTCTGTGGAGCTACAGACTGCTCTCAGTCAAACCGTAGACTTCCTATTTGCTCAGGTTTTGTCCTGCCTCTCTTCAGGGCACCCCCCACCATACTCCCTGATGCACAGCTACGCACTCCCTACCACTGCCCTGCCCCAGGGACAGGCCTTCTTGACACCAAGTTGCCTCTCTGGATGAGTGGTCTGTGACCCTCACTTGTTCTGTTTCCATAACTCTAGGTCAGCCAACCTCCATTTAGCTCTGCACTAACCTAGTTTTACCTCTCAGTTTAATGATTTTATGGGTTACAAGAGGTGCGGCTGCCAGGTTACTATAGAAACCTCCACTCTACTGACCATTTTCCCTTTCATAATAAAAAAAAAGTTAAATGAAAAAGAGAAGTCAACTATTCAAGGAGGAATCAGGTGTTTTGTAAGGATGTGCTGTTTTGCCCAGAGGGCTTGAAAGCCACCTACCTCAGATGGATTCTGTTTATCTCCTGGGCTATTTTTTCTTTGTTTTCTTTTGTCTTCTCACATGTTGAATCACATCATTCTATTGAGTGTTTTAAGAGATGGACTTGGACAATATCCTTTCATCATATGTGCTGGCTGCTAAAGAATGAATTTTGTTGGCATGTCTGGACTCTACAATCAGAAATAGAGTGGGCAAGGCCAAGGAATTGGCAGGACATGACAGAGGAGAGGTGGGGAAGGGACCAAAAGTCAGACAAGCCTGAGATCACAATTACAAAAAAAAAAAAAAAATCCACTAAAAGCAATGCTGTGGGCCCTCGGAATGAGAACAGGCTCCTCAGCGACTGCTTTTTTTGATACTTGGGAGCCAAGATTTAGGCTTGTTAAGTCAACTTAAGTCCAGCCCTAGGCAGGTGGCTGAGGAATAGTGTAAATTCCTAAAAGCAGAAATTGAAGTTGAGAGTGAACACCTGCCTTCTGAGGTAAGTTTCGGAGCACTGGATAGCTCTTGTCCAGGAATAGTGGCACCAAGGAGTTGCTGGGCGAGGGTAGGGGACACTACAGCCACCCTTTATCTAGTGTCCCAAAGTTACCCTCTAATGAAAATAATAAAACTACATGCTAAGCACAGCCTACATTTTTTAAAGATTCATTTTTCTTATAAAGATAGATTTACAGAGAGAAGGAGAGACAAAGAGAGAAAGATATTCCATCTGCTGCTTTACTCATTAGATGGCTTTAATGACCAGAGCTGAGTCAGTCCAAAGAGAGGAACCAGGAACATCTTCCAGGTCTCCCATGTGGGTGCAGGGTCCCAAGGTTTGGGCTATTCTCCACTGCTTTCCTAGGGCATAAGCATGGAATAAGATTGGAAGTGGAGCAGTGAGGCCACAAGCAGGCTCATATGGGATATTGGTGCTTAAAGGTAGAAGGTTACGCAGTAGAGCCATAACACCCACCCCCTTTCAGTATACATTTTAAAATATTAGACAAATGGTGGGAAAGACCACATTAGAGACTTTTGGTACTTATGCCCCTCTACTTCATACCATACAAATGAAAGAAACATAAACAGCTTCCAGAGAGTCTGCTGGCCACCCACAGCGTTCCCTCTTGTTGGCTTTTTCACTGGTAACCATTTACAGCCCTTAATAAACACATTGATATTCTTCCTACGCAAATTGTCCAGAGTTGCCACTGTGTCCCAGTCTGACCCTGGGTTTCCAAGTATTAGAGAATAGCAGTTTACACAGAAATAATGTGGTGGTATTATGCTCTTCTAGCCTTCATGGCTGAATTCAACGCTTAGCATGGGATTAAGATGGAAATCCATCTTAAATCAGCTTCATTCTCAATAGTCTGCGCAAAGCTCACAGTTTTCTTACTCTGTAGGGTTCCACTTAGAGCAAAACTATGGACCATGGTGCCTATTAGCCTGAGCAAAGCACTAGCCAAGGGGAAAGAAAGAAAAAGGCAAAAAAGAAGAGAATCAAAACTTCAGAAAACAGCCCTCAGGGTGAGTTAAGTGTAACTCTCTTGTCAGTACCTCTGATGACTGGAGCAGTGCCTGACTCCTGAGACCCCTGAGGTCATCACCTATCCGATGCTGAGTGCTCTGACACCCAACAGTGTTTGCAGGTGAGCTATTCCTAAGGTCTAGAAGCATACTTGGAACATAGCAGGGTTCTTAATCATAAACCACAGCAGACATCTCTAATGACTTTAGGGGGAAAATGAATTCATGCAAGAGTTCTCTGTAGGTCAAATTCCCTGGAAAAGTGGGGGAACCAAGATCAAGTGCAGTGACCACCACACTACAGAACTAGTCTGATCAGGACAGCACACCTTTTGGCAGCTCTGGGTACTAGGTATGGCAGCTTGCCCCTTCAGCACTATCAGAAATAAACAAGGGGACTTGGCACAACAGAAAAGTGGCTTAATCCTTGCCTTGCATGCTCTAGGATCCAAAATGGGTGTCAGACACTTTGTGTCCTGGATGCTCCACTTCCCATCCAGCTCCCTGCTTGTGGCCTGGGAAAGCAGTCAAGGACAGGCCAAAGCCTTGGGAGGGACCCTGCACCTGTGTGGGAGACCCCAAAGAGCTCCTGGCTCCTGGCTTTGGATCGGTTCAGCTCCAGCCATTGCAGCCACTTGGGAAATGAATCAGTGGATGGAAGATCTTTGTGTGAAAATCTACCATTCGAATAAAAATAAATCTTTCTTTAAAACAAAAAGAAGTAAAGGGCCCAGTGTGGTAATCTAGTGGAATCCCATCCAGCCCTCTGATAATACGTCTGGGAGAACAGCAGAAGACCCAAGTGTTTGGAGCCTTACTTCAAAGGGGACCAGGATGAAGCTCCTGGTCCCTGGCTTCGCCTTGCCTCAGTGCTGGTGATCACAGCCATCTGGGGGGTGAATCAGCAGATGGAAGATCAAAGATCTCTCTCCCTCTGCCTCTCTCTGTAGCTCTGACTTTCAAATAAGTTTATCTTTAAAACTATTTTTAAAAAGTAAAAGGCAGTGATCTAAAATTGGAAAGGATAAAAGAAGGGGGCTCAGAGACAGGGCTCCCAGGAGCCTGTACTGCTCTCTCTAGACCAAGGTACTGAGCTGACCACAGACAAGCCTGGTTATAAACTTTCTTTATTCCCCAGAAGAAGTCAATATAGGGAATGCTGAAATCAGCTCCTCAGCCAAACTTGGATGACTTATGTCATACATGTAAGAGAAGGCAAAAGTTTAGACCTGTGGAAGTTGTTTGATCTGAAGCTTTTTCATTCCCTTCTTTCACACATGTCCTCATTTTGTGACTGCTGAGCACCTTCGAGGCAGGCATCATTGACCGTGGAGAACTCAGTGGCAGTTCAAGGGGTTCCACAGGAGAGCAAGTTGATTTTTGACTGGTTTAGCTCCAGGCATTTGTAATAACTGCAAACAGGACCTTCTTCTTGACTGCTCTAGTCCAACTCTCCAGAGAAAATGTTATGCAGGCATTCTTGGATGAAGAACTGCCTTAGCAGGAAGTTCTGCCTTGCTTAAATGTATTCTATCTCAAAAGAGTTGGAGGGTAGCAGGTTGGGCACACAGGGCCTAAGTCCAGCAGAGCCAAGCATTCTCTCTGGGCCTATTTGGGCAGGAGTTTGAATTTTTCTTATTACTTCAGAGAATCTGTTACACAGAGTAACACCAGACCCAAATAGAATTTCCTTTCATTTCATTTTTTAAAGCTGTATTTATTTATGCATCACTCTATTTGAAATACGGAGAGAGAGGCAATCTTCCATCTGTTGGTTCGTTCCTCAAATGCCCACAACAGCCAGAGCTGGGCCAGGCCCAAACCATGACAACTGTAAGCACATCAGGGTCTCCCAGATGTGTGACAGAGGCCAAGTGGTTGGGAAGGTGCCTTCTCAGGTGCCTTAGCAGGGAGTTGGATTAACTAGAACTTAAACTAGGCACTCTAATACGGTATGTGAGCATCCCAAGAGGTGGCTTAATCTACTGTGTCACAATGTTCACCCCTTTTCAACTGTCCCACTTCATTTATATTTCCTCAGGAATAAAACAGAACTTGCATAAAGCTTCCAACACCATGAATTTGTATCATTACTGCAGAGAGGGGATACTGTTGAAGCACTCTTGCCGGCATCACCTTGGTCAATATTGCTCATCATTCCAAACACTTTTACCAATTTCACTGTTAAAATATTTGTACCTGGGGCTTTAATTTTCACCAACTGTTGATAAACCATTGGACTTAAATGCTAATATGTAATTGGCTTTCATGAACATTTTATCAAAGAACACAGTAGGCAGTGTGTCCTGCTTTCAGCAAAAATTAAACACAGGAATGCTTGAATTTGCAAACAAAGAGGCAGATGATTGACAAAGTGCCTAAATAATAAGTTTTTGTGGTGCATTTAATACCAAGTTAATGGCTAGCATTTCAGAACACATCATCAAAGAAATCGATTCACACTTGCCTCACTGTCACATGCACAGTGCAGGTCTATTTTTTGTAAGGATCTTGTGGTTAGCTGAAATAGAACCAATAGGAACAAGAGTAAGATAGACGTTCCCATAGCTTTCTTTTCAATTTCCAACCAAATGATACCAAAGTTGGTCGGGTAAAGTATTCCCAAATATTTGAGTACAGTTTTGTCAGAAACAAAGTGAGACATTAGGAAACATTTTCTTTTTTTAATGAACAAACAACTTTCACGCAGATTCTCTAGTATCACATTGTTATTACAACATAAATGAGCTGAAATGGTTTTTGTACATATTTAGAGGAAGGGAAACTATAAAGCAATCAAGCTTATAGAGGTAGTTGAACAGCAATACGGGGGAAAGCATTACTTTAATTTCCCTTCAATACAGTGCAAAAGTAAAATGGCCGCTTAACAAACAAATAGAAAACAAATACACATATGCATTTGCCACTGGTTCAGAGGTTTGCTTGATATTGGCATCCTGACACTACTAAAGGCTGCATAGAATAATGCAGCTAATTTATTTACGATAAGCTGATGATGTCATATTAACCTGTTTGCTGTTTGCTATTTCAAAGTTGCTGTTTATTTTCATTAACAACAGATGCTTATCAACATTTAAAATGATGCCAAAGCTACAGTGTTGCTTTGTAAACATCCACTAATCATGTTTGCTGTAAAACAAAAACAAAAACAAAACCCAAAAAACAACAAAAACCCAAAACAGCTAGGAAGTCATGACGCAAAAGCTTTAAAGTGACACTAGGAACACAGATTACAGGCACTTCTCTCTGGAGGTTACCTTAGCATGTTTTAAACACCCATTTGTAAGTGCTAACTTCTTCATTTCACCTCTGGATGTACGTAACCCAGATTATTAAATTGTTGAATAACCACAAATGGGAGCTATCATTCTCAGATAAACTGAAAGTGCCCATCTTCTATGGCTCCTTTTCCTTCCCTCTGCATGTAGGAAATGGAGCAGGTGGAAGCTTATGCCTCCAGCCATTTTTCAAAAAAATGTCTTCAATCATAAATCAAAATCTTGTTTCCTCAAGTTCCAGAAAAGAGCTGAAAATCTGCACTTTTCCATAGTCTGGGCTGCCTTCCATTTGCATCATGGCCACACATCCCTACTATGATCCTTCCTTGGTGAGCTCAAATGGATGCAAATTTACTATGTATGGAACTCACAAAATGAGGATTGAATCAAACTCCCATCTTGGCAATGGAGTGAGTGTGGATGATACAGTCTGCAGGAGACTGCAGTCCAACAGTGTGTAGTCTGCTTACACCGAGAGACCTCTGGGTGCTGTGAACCAGCCTCAAGCAGGCCACTGCTCCATTGGCCAATCACCAGGGGGCACTGTGAGCCCAGGCCAGTTTTACAGGCCATGCTGGAGAGAAACACAGGTGCAATGGCTTGCCCCTTGCTGTTGAGGTGACACTGGGCTAGAACCAATTGTCCCTCAGAAAAGGCAAATAGATGAATTCATCTATTCTCAGCCCCACTAAGCCAGGGGCAGGCAGTTCTTTCTTTGAGTTGTCTATAAAAACAATTTTTTGTTTTTCTTTTCATTTTCTACATTTTGCTGGTTATTAGCTAGCAGCATTAGTACAGTACAAAGCAGAAAGGCAATGATGTATGCTTGTTACCTAGTATACACATGGTATGTATACATGTACACATAGTTACACACAGAGACAGAAGTAATATATTAGGAAAAGACTATTGTCAGTCATGCTCAACAGAAAAAAAGCAACATAGTAAGTGACAAGGGGGATATCTTGTCTGGGCCTACATTTACCCTTAAGTTCTGTCTCTGTATGTTCTTTATTCTATAGGTGATCAGCAAAAGCAGTTTACAAAACTGATCAAGTCCAATGAATTACCCCATTTAAGTACATCCAAAAAAGCACAGCACATCCTGCCTGCCAACACTCCCATCACAAAACCTTGGGGGTACAACAGCCCACATGTGTATCTGTCTAGGCTACCAAGAGGAAAGTGCAGTTCTGCCTGGTCAAGATCAATATCTACTGGAGATGAGTACTCACTCATCAAGGGGAGCCATTTCTGTGATGTGGAACTTTATTAAGAAATCAAACTCAGGTGAAACAAAACATACATTGGGTAGATTAATTTTACTGAAGCTATGACTTTTTTTGGGGACACCTTTGTGATTTCATTGCCAGGCCTTTTTAACCAAAAGTGTGGAATACAAACTATCTAAAATGCTGCAAATCTGCAAAATAATGTGTTTATAATTAGCTTGGCCATTCCTTGACTATGCGGTCTGGGTGAAGTGGTTAACATTGCAGAGCCTCAGTTTTCTCACCCATAATATGGTAACTGTTGTCACCAGGTGAGTATGAGAAATAAATGCAATAACTTAGCTATGTGGAGGTCTCATGATTCATGACCTTGTACATGGTAGCATCAGTACATTTCTGTTGAATCTGTTCCATGAAGTAAACACAAAATCCATAGATTAAAATCCAATCACCCAGGCATGGGCAAGATTCTAAATACATTTGGATGAACAGAAAGTATTGGGTTAGTTACATGAATGGAGCTAGAATTTAAGATTTCCATTCTATCAGAAATTCCAGACCTCAAAGCAATGATCCTTTTCGTCCCTTACTGAAATGGGGATAAGGTTGCTGGTATGGGATTTAGTTCAAACTTCTGATGCTTCAAATCAGCAACTGTGGTCTAAAACTAATAGCATGGACTCTAACAAACACGTTTAAAGGGGCTGCAAGAGACTTCCATGTGTAAAGGCAGTGCTTAACAATTTATGCAAATGTAGGCTCTGGCCAATATTCTGAAACTATACGCTCACAGCAGCTAATTTCTGGCCAGTCACCAGGTGGAAGACAGTGCCCCTCGTTTGCTGCTCCCTTCTGGTGTTTGCATAGCCACGAGGTCTACACTTGCACATCTTTCTACTCCTTACTTACTCCAAACATTAACCTGGTGACATAATGTTTTGACAACATAATCTTCATTAAGTAAGTATAGAAAAAGATCTCTTGGTCTTTGTTTATTGTACCTGGATCATCTCTTTCTCCTTTGCCTGTTTTTGGCCACAGGTGGTGATGGAAGTCAGACTGATTGCCAGAAACATTACACTCTCACCTTCACAGAATAGAGGGGCTGTGAACAAGTAACACCACAGGTGCCCAACACCACATGGGGGAGAGTATGCAGGCAAGTACGAATGGTGGAATTCACTTGTTCCCTACACTAGTCTGTCAACTATAGCATTATAACACTCCCATAATCAGGGTACTTTCAAGTTCTCCTGACACCAAAGGAATCAAACTAGCACCAAGCAAGCTATAACTACTCCCCCTCTGTATTGAGATATTTGGCTCATTGCAATTAAGAGACTAGACAGTGTTTAGAGGACAGCATGGACTAACTGTATGGTTCCCTTAAGAAGAGTTTAAGAGAGCTATATCCTATCTGGCTTTTTCACTTCTGACAACAAATAGTCCTTCATCAAATGTTTCCATACATGCTATCCCAGATCTTGATCAGAACCATGCACAGAGGTTGGCATTGGGGGCGGAAGGGGAGCAGTGGTACATGGCTATGATATGCTATATTTGGTGTCATTCCTTAACAGTTAAATCCTACTGCACCTAAAATCACATTTTCTAACTGCAGGGTAAGAAATTAGATACAGCTCTAATTATGTTGCTGAACCACAATGCCCATAAAACCAAAATGCCCTAATAAAAGATACTCCTCTGATTCATCCCTTCATTCTAGAAAAATAATTCTTGATCACGCTTTTGTATTTATATGCGAAGGATTATTTCACTTTACCCCAGCACATGCCATAATCGATGACAAATCCCTCAAGTATTCTGTGTGGCTTCATTCAAATCAAAACAAAGAGTAGACTATATCAAGGGAGGAGATCCTACATCACTCCAAACTTATCTTCAATATCCAATTGGACAGACAGAAATAGTCTAAAAGCTGGGATCAATATGGTAAAAAATAAAGTGTTGCTGTAATTATGGTATTGTTATATATATGTACTGCAGAAGTAATGTTACTTCTCTCTGGGCACACGGTAAACCACATGAATAAATAAAGCAACTGACTTCTCAATGATGTACACTTAAATAGTTACAGACACACTTGTAGAAAAAAAAAAGGATACAGTAGTGCAAAAAAATAAATTATCAAAACTGAAAGAAGTATGAACCTTATTTTACACAATACGTTATAAAACCTGAACCATTTGGGAATGAGACCTCAAGTCAATGACACAATGCAGCAACATTAGTATCTTTGTTCACATTTCAAACATAATCATCTATGAAAACAAAAAGATAAAAGAAAAGTCACCTTAAACTCTCAGAAGATTTTTAGATGAAGATCAACATATATTTTTTTTCTGGGCACTTAAACATCTCTACTGTTTATGTACCTGCACAGTATATCAAGAAGCATGTAGGACATAAAGTTTTACATAGATCACATTCTTTGGGTCTTTCAGTTTGACTTGTCTCTGTGATTCAAAGCAGGTTAATTATTCTGCTTGATACCTCCTGCTGTTAAGATGTTATTGCAACTAAACATATTTACAAGAAGCCCCCTTTATGGCAGTGGGGGTGGGTGGGATTCCTCTTCGGACTCCACACTCACTAGTTTTGGTTTCGGGATATAAATGCCAGGACTCGCCGAATACCGTTCAGCCTATCCTTCAAGGATCTCATTGCCAGGAACGGCAGCTGAGCTCGGCTTTCCAAAGGAAGGACCGCTAGTATCCACCAACACCAGGCTGGACCATTCGGGTTAATCTGCAACAGAGAAAACACAAAGGGCTCACCCTGTTTCCATGCAAGTACCATCAGGCTGCAGGTTTTCAAATGTGAGATAAATACCCCAGGTAGAATTGCTTCTGTGTGCAACAGAGACTGCTGATTGCCTCGCTCATCCCAGCTTCCCCTTAATTTAACTTAGGAATATAGCTCCCCAGGGGAAAAAAAAAATCCCAGAACCACGTCTCAGCCTCGTTTGAAGCTAGACATGGCCAAGAGATAGAGTTCTGACATAGCAGCTGTGGAAGGGGGTAATGCGGGGAGCTGCTGGGTTCAGCTTTGGGAAGGAACCATGTGCCTCCACTTTGCTTTTTCTTCCATTTCTCCTAGTTGGAGCATGGATCCATGCATGACTGGCCTTCCTCAACACCATGGGAGCAGCATTTTTAGGAAGGTAGTGCCTCACAATGAAGGAGCCTGGGTCTCTGAATGTTTGCTTGGAGCTAAGCTGACCTGACCATAGGGGAATTGGCCATTGGCCCCTGTATCTTTTTTTTGGCAAGCAAACCAACATCTTAACAGATACATCATGCTTCCTAACCAGGGTGAGTTTTATGAGCTACAATAGGCATTGCCCAGTCTTCCCTCATCTCAGACCTCTGTTTAGATCCTTTGGACAGGTACACTCAACTGGCAGGCCTTCAATCCCACTAGGCTGTACATGTCTTTAAAAACTCACTTCCTGTTCTTGCTTAGACTGAAGGCCATAGTTGCACTACCCATGCCAGATGCAGGGCCGTGGCTATCTTTTCTCCCAAAGCCAAAGGCTGTGATGGCTAGCCCCCAAAGAACAACAACCCTGCTCAGTAAAACTTCTCATCAAAAGCCACAGTCAACAAGTGAACAGTATGAAGTCATTAGTTCAGCAGAAATACAGAAAGCCAAGGGCTTTCAGCAACAATCACATTGAAAGTTTTCACTCACCTTGAATGCAATGTAAATTAAACATATACAATCTCCAAAACTAACAAAAAATAAGAGAGAAGAATGAAATATCATTATATTCTTAGAATTGTACCCATTAGGGACAAGCATAGTGGCATAGAATGCTAATCGTCCACCTGTGGTGCCGACATCCTATACAGATATCTAGTCATAGCTCTCCACTTCCAATCCAACTCCCTATTAATAGCCTGAGAAAATAGCATAGAGCAGCCCAAGTCCTTAGATCTCTTTCATGTGGGAGACCCAGAAGAAGCTCCTGGCTCCTGGCTTCGGACTAGCTCAGCTCAAGCTATTGTGGCCATTTGTGAACCAGTGGAAGGAAGAAATCTCTATCACTTTTTCTCTCATTGTAGTTCTTTCAAGTAAAAATAGACAAACCTTTTAAAAGCAGAATGGTGTCTGTGAGCTACATTGAATTGACTTGCTTTGAATTAATAGCATATTAATATGCATTAAATCGTCAAAAATGTATAGGCTGTGTTAGATAGCCATAAAAAAATCCATTCACATTACAAATGCATTCTGTCCCTAAGGCCGCTTTTCAAGAAAATCCTATTTGCTCCTGAACACACACCTTAGACACTGCTGACTTACTTTTTACTGAGCCTGAAATAAATGTTCTTCTCACATTAGGTCGTTGCTTTCAGGCCCGTGGAGAATCATATTTTGGTCAAACTACCCACACCTAGGATTCTAGAGTGCCACGTTGCTTCATTTGATTCTTCCTTAATCTCCCCGTCTTCTATGTTCACCCGTGCCTCTCACTTCATCTTGTGGTCAGTGATGAACAACAGACTGACTTTCTGAACTTTGTTTCCCAGAATCATCAAAAAGGAGAATGAAAGTGATATTAATAATTGGGGGCAGTTTCCCAGAATCCCCCTCCTAAGGCTTAGGAGAGTCCTAGGTGTGGGCCTCTGGAGCTGCAGTGACCAGAGAAAATGGCAAGCGTTTCGTCCTGTGCTTTTTGCCAGGTGCTGCCCCCATCAACACAAATGTCAGCGGAACCAACAATGAAGCAAGCAAAACGCAAGGTTTCAGCTTTCAGTGTCACTCTGCCCTTGTGAGTCATACGGTGGCATCTGTGTTTCCTCTGGGGGAAGATACTGTTTATCCTTGCTCTATCTTTTTTGCCTGACACAGAAAGAATGCTTCCCAGAAGGTGAAGTGGAAAAATGAAGCTTGATCAAGAGCTTACTCAGAGTTATGCAGCAGTCCTGAGTCACAACGACCCAGAGCCAGGAGTGAGGTCACTGGCTGGCGCTAACTGGCCTTTCACTCTTCAAAGCTCAGGATGCTGTTGCATGACACAAAAGGAGCCACTTCTGTAGCTCTGGGGGAAAGCAAGACATCTTATTTATTCACCTAGTTTAAAACAATGCAGCCCTTTTGGAAAAGTTCGGTGTTTTTTAAAGGTGTACTGATTCCTTTGGAAGTCAGAGTTACAGAGAGAGACAGGTATCATCTGCTGGCTCACTCCTCCAAAGGCAGCAACAACCAGGCTGAAGCCAGGAGCCAGGAGCTTCTTCTGGGTTTTGCACATGAATGCTGAAACCCAAGTACCTGGATCCTCTTTCATTTTTCTGCCCCCAGGCATTTTAACAGGGAGCTACATTGGAAATGGAATAATCAAAGAGTTGAACATGCAACTATATAGGATGCCAGCATCACAGGTGGTAGTTTAACCCACTGCACGACAGCACCAGCCCCCCCCCATCACCAAAGCAGACATTTTAGTCCATTAATGAACAATCTTATGTTTTAGAATCTCAAAATAGAGGAGGAAGGGGGGCTTAATTAAGTCTTCATCTACTCCCTCCTTTCAGAGATGAGACAAACGCTAACAATGCCTTTTGTGGGGCTTGTACAGTGGCATAGCAAGGTAATCCTCTGCCTGTAGCACCAGTGTCACATACGGGCACTGGTTTGTATCTTGGCTGCTCAACTTTCCTTCCAGCTCCCTGCCTGTGGCCTGGAAAAGCAGCGGAAAACGACCCAAAGCTTTGGCACCCTGCACCTAAGTCAGACCTGGAAGAAGCTCCTGGCTCCTACATCAGTTCAGCTTAACTCCGGATATTGCAGTTATTTGGGGAGTGAACCAGAAGACTCTCTCTTTGTCTGTTTCTCTGTTTTTCTCTCTGTAAATCTGCCTTTCCAATAAAATTAAATTTTTCATATAAAAAGAAAAATGGCTTTTGGCAGAGAAGTCAGAATATATGCATTCAGATTTTCTATCATGCAAATTGGGAATAAGGATGAATAAAATGTGTGTAAAAGAAGTAAAGAGTAAACGAAGACATAACAGTAATGGTGTAGGAGAGCCAGCTCCGAGCATGGGGAACAGTGGTGGTGAAGACATACCTGAGGATCAGCATCTTTCTCTGGCATTGGACCGAAGTGATTGAGTATCCGAATCTTCAGAGATGATTTGAGCGAATGAAACCACGATAATGCTAGCTCATAGACACAGTTATGTAACCCCATGAGTTCAGCAAAATCTTCTCCCTGAACCTGAAAGTAACCAAGTGAAAGTTAAATGATCCGTACACTCTCCATCACTCAGAGATACTTTTGACACCTGACTCTTTGAACAGCCACTCTGTTCCCTTATAGGAAGGGTTTGTCACCCAGATTTCTCCCTCCTATGATGGGAACTGCTCCACAGCCAAGTGCAGGGCCACAGGCCAACACTGCTCTGGCTGCAGGAAAGACAAAGTTTCAGCTGGGCAGCTTAGCCAAAACAGCAAGGCACACAGAAGGTCAAAGATCTGATCTAGCCTGAGTGGAGGCATGTAATTAGTGTACATTATGCCAGTCTGTGCCTCTGACCTTTTTGTTGCTGTATCTATTTTCTTATTGCTTGTAGAGAGAGGGACACAAATATGTCTGTGCCTCAATGTGTTATTCAAATACACTTATTATCCTTCTGCTATGTAGTGAAGGCACACATAAATGAACGTAAAATTATACACCTCTTTTCTTACCTATTAACTCAGAAAACCAAGGATTAATGGGACATGCCATCTTTCTGCTTTATGAGGTCATAGATTATTGGGAAGGGCTCTTAGCCAAGCTGCACATTTACAAATGCAAATACATGTGTGAATCTATGATGATCTCAAGGAGGGGTATGGGAGGGGTGGGGGGAATCCCCAGCGCCTATAAAACTGTACTACATAATACAATGTAAGCAACAATAAAATAAAATAAAATAAAATAAAATACAGATACCTAATCCGTACAAAAAATTGTGCAGGTGTAGCTCCCATTACAAAACTGCCCTTTGGTATCCCTGGGAGACGTAACTCCTAGGCTGATACGGTCCCCACACTGATCTGGAGTGACATTTGTTACATATGACTGCAGTTCAGAAGCTAGGCAGGCTGAGTCAGGACAATGGGCATTGTCACTGCCTTCTGCAAAGAAGGTAAACCAGCTGGCAAAACAGCACCATTTAATGTTGCCACAGCAATTTGGTAAGAAACTTCAAGGTCCCCGGTAGTTCTGAGGAATCTTTTGACAACCATCTGTCAAGTTACACGCAGAGTTTTGTGTCAGCTTTCTTGGGCCCTGCCCCCTCACCTTTTGGTCTTCAATGTATTCAATGTCGGCTGTGTTGTAGCCATCCCGCTGGCCCTGCTGGAGCACTCTGAAACGTCTCTTGCCTATGCTGTCAACCACTGAGCGACCATCAGCAAAGAATTGAACATTTCTGATCTCCAGGAGGCAGCCATATTCTGCAAACCTGTTTATTGAGAAAGGGATTAAAGAAGTAGATCTTTGACGAGCTCTGTATTCCCATTCTGTCCCCCAGCTATCTATATTACCCCATGCTAAGCCACAAGAAACTTGTACCCATTTGCCTGTCCTTGGATCTACAGCTACAACACACTAGGCAGTGGATGTGAAACAAACAAACCAAAACAACCACACAATCTATTACTAACGCAGCTACTATTCATTGAGTACATACTATGTGCGTTGCTATGATTTAAACATTTGTCCACCTCAAATTTCATGACACCTTTATGAGGTAACTAGACAATTAGTGTGGAGCCCTCATGAACCAATTAGTGCTACTCTAGTGGGAGTGGATTCTTGCTAACACTGCAAGTTTGCCCCTGATTCTTTCTCATCTTCTCTTTGTCCTTCCATCATATGGCTGCCACAGTGTTATGACATGATAAGAAGGCCTTTGCTAGATGCTGGCACCTTTATTGCGGCCTTACAAATCTCCAGAAACATGATACCTAATTTCCATTGCTCATGCATTACTCAGGCTGTGCTATGGTGTTATAGCAGCACAAAATGAATTAAGACAGCCAGGAACTGTGCTTGATCCTTTATGTACATTATCAAATTATCAATCTTTTTGATAAACCTGATGAGGTCAGTACTGTCATTGTACCCTCTTTACAAACAGACAATGGGATACAAATAATTAGCCCAAAGTCAAACTTGCTCCAAAGTTGGAGCTTGAACATGAACCCAGGTGGTTTGACTTCAGGGTCTGCAGTATTAGAAAACAACTTTTATAACACATATTATCTGGTTAACAAAAGATTAATCGTGGGGTTCCTGTAAATGGGCAGCCTTTCATAGGGAAAACTGGATGCCAGAGGGATCCTAATCTTACACACGCTCATGTTCTGGAGCTGGCTAAAGCCCATGAGCTTGGCCTCCCTACCTCCTGGGAACAACCCAAAGTCCAGGCCCACTCCCTCCCCTGCCTAGCTTGATTCACAGGGCTCTTCCTCTTACCCTTTCACGGGATCTCCAAGGCACATGCCAAACTGTCTGGTGCCTGTCTCAATGCATCTGCGAATCATCAGGCGGTAACAAGGCTCAAAGATGTGCAGGGGGCAAGGAACAGTGGGATAGGCCATGGTGCACACGAAAATAGGCACGTTCTTATTTAAGCTGTCACAAAGAGCAAATTAGGCAGATCTCAGAGCAATGGAGCAGAACACAGAAAGATCCAGCAATTGTCAGCACAAGGTTCCCCACAGAAGGAAGGCAACGAGCCATCCAGTTGTGATAGGTGACCAAAATATGACATGAGACTGATGTTGTGGGTGGAATCTCATTACCTGGTGCAAAGGTCAACATGAGGCCTGAGGTTAGAACTGGCATTGCACACATTCTAATCTGGATGAAGCAATCCTCAAATATCTCAACACTGTAGGTGACAGCTATGTCTCATTTTTTTTCTTTCTTTCATGCTATCCAAACAATGTTTTAAATGTTACCTGCCAGCAGTACAGGGAAGGGTACCGATGGTGTGAGTGGATTCACCTCTCCAGAGGGGCACTGAGAAATTCTCTACAGGGTTCCTTTGGACAGCAGACATTTGCAAAGCCCCAAAGGGAATCTGCATAGCAGGCCCAGCTTGAGGGAGGAGGGAGCAAGAGACAGGCAAGGGTAATCTAGTTCAGAGATGCTCCAACACTCCATTCTGTCAGAATCATCAGGGCTCTCCAATCCAGGTGACCGGGCCCCCATAGCTCCAGAGGTGCTGACATATTAACGCAGGAATTGAGATCCAAGAACTGGCCTTCCAAAAATACCTCTACAGATGGATGCATGTAGATTGTCGGGGAACCAGCAACAGGGCCAACTCCCTCTTGGATCCCTGTGCTCTAATTTGCCTCGTAAATCCAGTGCAGGAACATCTGAACTTGAATCAAGCAGCAGGTATGAGGGGGCTTTAAAAAGGTCATAGAAAATGGAATTAATTGTCATGTTGACTTTTGGTACACAGCTATTTTAAATTCAAGGCAGATGTTTTGTTTTGTTTTGTTTTTCTTTTTCATGGGGTTCTATTTTCAATGAAGTTCGAAGATCCTCCCCCACTCTATAAGACCATTTCCCCCTAAATACCAGAAAGGTTAAGTGTAAAGTTCCTTCAAACAGAAAGTTTCCCTAGTATACCCCAATGTTTGTTAATAAGGCCTTAAATGATATTTGTGACGGCACCTCAGAGAGGTTTCAGGCCATGTTCAGAATCAGAAAGAAAGATGCCCTAGGAAGTTCCACTAGAAGTCAAAGAGAATGGGAAAAGATTTGTAGTTCCTGAGGAATACATGATTCAGTGTGTGTATGGTAGGGGCACATTCAACCAAACTGGTGTTTAGAAATGCTCCGTACAGGATGTGCAAAAAAACAGGACAGTCTTTACTCTTAGGAACCTCAACTCCACACTGTTGAGAAGATGCTACTGCGGTGAGAGTGAGGGAATGTAGTAGTAAGACAGAAATTACTGAATCAGCACCACCACCACCACCACCACCATTACTTTGCTGTCGGGTAGGCTGATTTTATCAGCCAGCTGGAGATCTTGGAGCCTGGGTTGTGCCTACATTCCTAAGCTACCAGCCCAGAAAGTGTAAATGAACTGCCCAGGGTCCTGAAGAATTCTCACTTTGTAATAGAACTGAGTCTTAAGCCCAGGTCTTGCTGCAACCAAAGTTCTTAATCTCAAGCATCCATCTCCTTGTGTATTTGAATACGGTCTTCTGGTAAATGTTTAACGTCTGGCTCTCCAAATTAGGGGGAAGGGAAAGTCCTGGTGTGTCGCCTTTGCTGATTCCCATGGTACAAATACACTGAGCATGCACAATTTCAAGTGATGTGGTATCAGTGACTGAGGAGCTGGAAAGAAATGTGCACTCCCTGCTCTCATGTGTCAGTGTGAATTAAACAGAAATACAAACATGTGTATACATACTTAGAAAGTTCTTCCATTTCCTCTTCATGAAGTCTCCTTCGTTCCCTGAGTTCTTCCGGAAGGAACGTAGCTATTAGATCTTCCATTATGACATTTCTGCTGTATTTTCTTAATGCCAACCACTATATGGGGAACAAGACAACTGATTATGCAGTCATCAGAAAAACACAAAACAGCTCTGATATAATCAGTAGAACAATCAAAGAACCCACATATTAGAGTGATTTGGAGTCACAAATTAACATCTGGTGCTATCATAATGAATGTATGCACCATCTGGATTCTAGAACTTTAAAAAAGCACAAGTGTAATTAATTATCTTGATAATTATATATAGTTCTGTGTGTTTGTGTCTCTCTCTGTGTGTAGCTGTTGCACCCATTTGGAGACTGAATCAGAAGGCAGACGATCTCTTTCTGTCTCCCCCCACCCTCTCGCTGTAACTCTGCCTTTCCAATATATAAATAACCAATTTTTAAAAGTCTGATAATCTTCTTAAAATACTGATACTGAAGTCATGTTCTTATCAAAATAATGATGGGAGTCCATCACTTGTTTTTCTGATTATCATGTTTATAAGCTCACAGAAATGACCTGGGTCTGGCACATTCTAAAAGTCAGAGATCAAAAGGTTCGGGGGATTGAAACACACTTTGCAATCACTGGTACTTTTCTTCCATACTTTCCCGATGCCTGGCTCCTGGCTCCTGCTGAGTCTACACATTTTGGATCATCTAACTTGTTTCCAAAAGCACGCAAACATCTAAGCACTAGTGGCTTTGTCTGTTTGCCTTTTCAATATACCATTTAGATGTCAACGAACTTATGTGATAATCCATAATTTCAGAATGTATATCAGACTCCAGCACCTTTGTAATTCTCTCCTGAAAACACCCTTACCCTCCATCCAGATACCTATAAGTAGTAAACATTTAGTAATGTGAACCAAATGGATGATAAACATCTAAGTATCTTATACCACAATAAAATAAGTAAATAAACTATTTTTTAAAACCCCGCAAAAATGACTCACTCTGGAAACTACAACTGCAGAACCAGCAGGGGGAGTATATGAATATCAAACTGTTGGACTTGGCTTCAGACAATTTTGTTTCCCAGTACTGGCTATGGCTATGTTCTGTGATAAACAGAACTGAAATATGTATCTTGCTATAAAATGGTATAAGTCTGATTCTGGGCAAATATATATATATATATTTTATACATATACATATATATCTCATACATATATATATATATATATATATATATGAGAGAGAGAGAATGAGAATATATTCTAGCTCTGAGTTTGAAACTCCATAGCTTCTGCCTCCAGGAAGCCTTATCACCCACTGCCATTGGTACAGGAGAATCCACTATGTTACCAGTTTGAATCTTTGAGCAGAGTAATAGGTACTCAGAAGTTGGCCAATCCGAGAAGGATGTGACTTCTCCACTGACGCTAAACAAAAAGCAACGAGGACGGCTGGTCTGCACTGTGGCACAGCAAGTTAAGCCTTCACCTGAAATGCTGGAATCCCATATGGATGCTGATTTGAACACCAGATGCTTCACTTACTATCTGGCTCCCTGATAATATCCCTGTGAAAGTATTACACCTACACTTACATAGGAGACCCAGAAGAAGCTTCAAGCTCCTGGTTCACACCTGGCCATGGCACCATTTAGGAACTGAATCAAAGGATGAGAGATTATCTTTCTCTCCCTCTCTCTCACTCTATCTCTCTTTCAAAATAAAACACTTTTTTAAAAATGCCAGGAAGGGCACATAATGAATATTCACAAGGGTGTTGTTTAGGTGTCAAGCCTATGGGTGTGTATTGTTCTTCCTTCTGCTTTTCTACATTTTGTAGTGCTGCAACACAGACACATTAGCTAAGTGTAAGGACCACGTGATTCTCGCCTACAATCAGACCAGTAAGTCTTCCCTCCTTATCTAGGTAAAGGCATGGCATGAATTCTTCCCAAACTTCAGAACATACCCTTAAGGTTCTCCTTGATGGTGACTTCCCTTCATTCCCATAGTTTAACTATGCAGATGTCGAGAAAGCTCAATAAGTGACTCCTCTGGACTTAGATTCACTTAAGGACAGTCTTGTGTTTCCAGTCTCACTTCAGGCAGACAGGGAACCAAGGAAAAACAAGTATTTTTGCAAAATGGGAAACCCAAGTTCCTGGGGGAGGGCAAACAAGACTGGACCTTCTTTTGTTACATCAAACTCCCTCAAATCCACCTGCCAACAATGAAGGTAGGAGTTTATGTGATGGAGTTTACAGAACCTAGGGTTTTCAGATATCCAAGAACCTATTAATAAGCACAGTGACTCCTGCAAGATCAGACAACAAACACCCTGAAGGTCTATGAGATTCTTCTGGGTCCCAGAAGCTGATCTGTTCAAAGCACAGAATAAATATTGATAATAGTAGGACACTAGAACCCATCCAGTCAAGCCCGCAGATGACCAAAGATTTACCGAAGGGTACGATGTGTCAGGTTTGTATGATGGCATTAGAATCAGGATCCATTTCTTCCATGCTTTTATTTCTAACATAAATAAATTTCATTACTGACAACTTATGTACAGTGGTTCGAAATGCAACTGAACATCATCCAATTACCCATTTCCAAATAAGCAAAATCAACTAAGAAGGAAATAGTGGTTTACCTGTGTAAGGGCATCTTTGCACAATGGACACTTTGCGTTGTGATCCAGGCATCTTTCAAGGCATTTTAAGCAAAAGGTGTGCCCACAAGGTGTTGTAGCTGGCTCATAGAATAATCTGAAAGTTAGGAAGCAAAATGGAAGAAAACTACAGTGAGACCAAGAATAAAAGACAGAGGTATTCATGGCTGTGATTGTATACAATTAGGTAAAAAAAAAAAATCTGTGGGAGGTAAAAACAGGCAACTATTTTGCTTTCAATCACTTTTGCTGTTGTACTTGAGAAAGTTATTTGGTTTTTATTTTTGAACTGGACTTAATATAATGCATTTAGGGCATAGTTTAACCATTTTGTAACATTTCATTCTGGTCAACCTCTTTTGGGCATCCAGCTTTTCTTCCATATCTTGTCCAAGAAAAATAAAGATTAATACCCAAAATGTTTGAAGAGATTATATTCTAAACATAATTAGCCAACCTGTTCACTTGAATTTATGTATACACATGGATGGGGATATGCACATACAAACACACACACCATATTCAAGCACTGAACACCATATTACATGGATAAGCACATGACATTATATCACAAGGATAAATTTGGCTTGTTTGCTAAACGCTGATGACTTTGTTCACCTAAGTATGCTTACTGCCCGGGGGATTTTGAAACTACACCTCTGACAAACACATAACTGTTTTTCAATAGAAGGATCATTTTTGTAGGAGTAGTAATATCATTAACACGCTTATTAATATGGATTGCTACACAAATGCATACGTATACACATACTTAACTGAACCTTTTTTTTTTTTTACAAAGCTATTCTGTATCTTCAGAGATTCATGGGTTTATTTTGTTTAAAGAAAGGCTCACCTTCAGCAGGATCAGTGGGTGGAGGCAGCTGGAAATGAGAGTTGAGAAGTGGGGTTCAAAAAGAGAAAGATGCCTGAGCAGGTTATTTTCACCTCAGCAGAGGGTTCAGTGGAGAGGAAGACACAGATGCACAGCACCCTCGTGTGGCCAGGAGGTTGCATGAGCAGTAAAAAATGTGAGAGCTGTTCAAGCACTTGAGAATAGATAAAGCCTGCAAACTAGAATGAATCTGACTGAAGTGCAGAGGGGTGAAGTTATTAGAGTATTATACATAACTAACTTCTGCCAGATATAAGTCTGTCCAACTGCTGCTTCCTCTCTTGTGCTTTTCCCAGTCAGTGATTCTCAATCATTGCTGGGTGTCTGAATCACTTGGGACTCTGGAAAAAACGTATTGTTATAGATCTGACATTCAATAAACTGAACAAACTTTAAAGTACACATTCTGATAAATTCTTAAATATGTAACATACATGTTTATATGTAACATACATGTTACACATGTTTTGTGCTTTATATGTTTACACAAGTTTTAAAATATGTAATATATATGAAACCATCACTTCAATTGAGACAGTAAACAAAGCCATCTCTCTTGTACTTCTTTGTAATTACAATTCTCCCTCCTGCATCTACCACATACTCCAACCTCTATCACCTGTGAACTTTTAATATCACCAGATATTTAGAACAAAACCTACACAGATTCAGACAAGTAGACTAAGGGCACATGTCAGCCATCAGGAGTTTTCAAGCCCCCTGTGTGATTTTAATGTACAGCCAAAGCTGAAAATCACTTGGTGCACTATACAATCCCGCTCTTCTCTGCATAGGTGACCCTTCTGTACTATTGTTCACATAGAATCATCAGTCACCTGTGAATCTTTAAAAGTATACATGGTACTTCTGTATTATTCTGTTTAAAATGTAGCAAATCTGTACAACAAAAATAATAAACTCTACATATCAAGTTAGTCAAAAAGCAAATTTCCAAAAAAACTAAAATACAGATTGAAGCCAGTGTCCTACCACAAGAAGAATCAAAGCAAATCTGTCATTATTCACAAATGATTTGATGGTGAAGTTAAAAAGGCTTGAAGAATTTACACAAAACTGATTATTAAAATTGATAAAAAGAAATAGCGCTAACAGTTTTCCAGATAAATACACATGCAAAAACAGAATTGAAGCTCTATATAGATGTATTCGATGCTACATTTGTAAGAAGGTGACATTTACAACTGTTTTGAAAGCCAAATACACAGGAATAAATCATACATAAGCCGTGCCAAGACTTGTATCAGACAAAATAACAAGCCTCTCAGTGAAAGAAAGCAAAGAAGATCTAAATAAGCCCCAAGAAAAATCCCATTGGGTTGCCTCATTTGTTTATTATTGCGGAATTCACACTCTGGTTTCTAAACTCTATAAATAATGAAGAAAGGTCAGTAGGTAAGATACATCTGAAGAGCAACAATGTGGGAGGACTTGCCCTGATTTCAGAACTAAAGCTGTGGTAGTTAAAGCAGTGCATGTGCACAAGGGCAAATGGACCTGTGGAGCAAAACAGAAAACCCAGAAAAAGAACATAGCATGGGTTCTTGTGACAAATGTAACACTTCAAAGCAGACAGGGGAGGGATGTTTCAGTACCAAAGTAGCATTCTCAAGAAATGTAAAGAAATCTTTAGGTCCCTAGGAAGAAGTGAAATGGAACCATCTCTCACACCATACCCAAAAATCAACTCCACATGGGCTGTAAAAATAAGTGTAAGACAAAACAATAAAATTGTCAGAAGATAAATCAGTAGTATGTGGGGGTCTCCAAAAAGTTCATGGAAATGTGGATTATGAAAAAAAAAATTGTGAATGCGCTTCAAAATTCACCAAAACTAAAGTCATCTTTTAGTTCCACTTTCAACGAACTCTTTTTTTATTATTATTAATTGCATTGCATTATGTGACACAATGTTAGAGGCACTGGGATTCCCCCCATCCCTCCCTAAACCCTCTCCCCATGGTGGATTTCTCCACCTTGCTGCATTACCACAGTTCAAATTCAGTTGAGGTTCTTTCATTGGAAGTATTTACCAAGCATAAAGTCCAGTGTTTTATTATCCTAGTGGGTTCAACGATTTGTTGGTGAGACCATCTCTGGTCTGAAGGTAAAGCCAGCAAAGTATCTCAACGAACTCTTTAAAGTGCCCTCATACTTTCATGAACCACTCAAGTTAAAAACAAATCTTAAACAATACACAGACAGACCCTAATTACAACTGCAAAGATTGACGATTCTGATTGCATTAAAATTAACAATCTTTGATGTCATCAAAAGGTGTCATTAAGAGAGCAGAAAGGCAAGCAGAACAGAAAATATCTGCAACAAATGAGTATGACTAACAAAGGACTTGTCTTTAGATAATAAAGAGCTTCCACAGGCCAGGAAAGGAGAACTAGTGTAAAAACAGACAAGCACTTCCATGCAGCAGAATATATGAACTTAACTACACCAGAATACATAAATGATACCTCCAAACCAGAAGCAATCCCACAATTCATCTATAATCAAATTGATAAATTGTGGTAGAGTTATACATAGAAGACTACACAATAATGAAAATGAACAAGCTTCTCTTCTGTGCAATAGCATTGTTAATACGATGAAGCTAGACAAAATACTACATTCTGCATAATTCAATAGATGTAAATTTTGTGTTTTTTTTTTTAAGACAAAACTGGAGCAGGCTTGCTTAGCCTAGTAGTTAACACAGCTATTATATGCTCCAGTGGACATCAAACTTCCTGGGTTGCATTCCTAACTCTGGCTAATTCCAACTTCCTGCTAGTAGAGACTTCAGGAGACAGTAACTGATGTTTCAAGCAGTAAGGTCCTTGCCACCCACATGGGAGACCTGGGTGGAATTCCTAATTCACAACTTCGGGCTGGGCACAGGCCAGGCTATTGCAGGCATTTGAATGAACCATAGAGTGGCATCTCTCTCTCTCTCTCTTTCCGTTCTTAAATAAGCAATAAACTTCTTGGCTGCTTTCCCAGGCTATTAGCAGGGAGCTGGATCAGAAGTAGAGCAGCTGATGCTCAAAGGAATCCCAGTATCTAAGGTGGCAAAGACTGAAATATCCCTGTTCAGCCTCCCATTTCCTGCGCCATGCTAGTTCTGGGACTCCTGCCAGTTCAAGTATATCCTGGTTTTGCACTCGGACACACTCGTCAGAATAGCATGTGCTGGGAGTACTGAAATGAGGATACCTATGACTAGCCTGAAGACCACAGAGGAAGGAGACGAAGGTGAGATCAGCACACTTGACTCACACTTGATCAACCTTCCACGCCTTTGGGATATCTCTATCAGAATAGCTTGTGTCTAGGAGTGAAATTCTGCTCCTGTTCCCTGCACTGTGCTAGACCTAGGCTTTTGTCTGATGACCTTAAGTTGACAAGCCTGCTCAACAATGGGCCTGATTCTATAAGCCTGCACTAAAACGTTCTTGGTTAGGGCTCCATCCTGCTAGCTGCAATGATGGTATCGGGTGACAAGATGTGGGGGAGCATATAGGAAACACTTATCTGTTAGGTGCCTTTTTGAAAAGCAGCTTTAAATCCTCCAGAGCATCCCAGGTTGGTTCTATAGAATCTGGTTGACCTTAGACCATAGAGTCAGTATCTACCCCAGGAGGGAAAATGACCTACTACACCACAGCCTTCCTGTATTAAACTTTCGATTGGAAAACATTAGCCTATGGACCCTCTGCATCTGTGTTGGCTCCTGCTCTACATAGAGCATGCAACTGGCTCCTCAACTGTCTTATGTTTGTTTCCTGATTAGGGGTCTTCAGACTCAAGGTGGCCTTGTACATGCAAACTTGTGTGACAACCAGACCAACTTCTGCCATGGCAACTTGGATGACCTGGACCATCTCTCTGGATCCCACACCTTCAGGGGCCCCTTACCCAAACGTCGTCCCGATTCAGCAGGAAGCAGCCAGAAGACATCGTCGCCCCTTTTCCCCTACAGAAGTAGGATGTGGGATTTCAAGAGGGGGGACTGAGACCATCCAGGTCCTCTGAGGTCTTGGCCACACCTTCAGGTGGGCGGTACCAGCACTGTCCACCCATTTCCTAATTAATCAAGAGACCACCAATGGGGAACATCTCACCTGTAGGTTCCCCGCCCAACAAGGAGGGGTCAAGGAAGGCTTAAAACCCCTAGACCCTTCCCCAAACCTTTGGTGTCTCTCTCTCCCTCCCCTCGAGAGCACCCCACCTCCCGTCCGGAGGTGCTTCCCCTTCCTTCCCTTCCCTGCTCCCTGGTCCCTTCGCAAATAAACTTTTCTGTTTGTAACAGAAAAAAAAAAAAAAAAAAAAAGAAGTAGAGCAGCTTTGACTTGAGCAAGTACCCACATGAGTATACCCAAAGTGACACAGCATCTCTCAAAAAGAGCTAAGATAAAATGCCCCCTAACTGGTGACAAACAAAAATATTGCCACTGATGCTGTTTAATTATTACTCAGAAATAACTCAAGGTCCAGATGCTGGGAACAGATCCATTCTCAGAACTTGACTCTTTGGCAGTTCAGGGCTCCTCTGAAACTGGAATATGCAAGTTCTTCTCTTGCTATATGTTTGGGTGTGTGCAGCACTATTCTTCATATAACCTTAAGTTTGTATATTAGTAGCTGACAATTATCAGGAGTTCCATTATATCAATAAGGAAATAAAAGCTCAGACAGGTTCAATAACTTGGCTATGATCACACACAAGCTGGTAAGCAGCAATGCTTCAGCTGTAAAGTCAGATCTGACTTCCTAAGTCCTTCTTGCTTCTATACTCTGTCACACGGCAATGACTGTGTGTACTCCGTATCACAGACATCATCCATCTCCATGTACAGGCACATACTCATATACACACTCTTCCTTCTACTCCTCTGTCTTCCTCTTCTGAGAGGCAGAAAGAGACCAGGATTCCAAATGCTCCCTCTTATTTACCAGTTTTTAGTAATGATCTCAGAAAAACACTTCAGGGAGGCATTTATACATCAAAACATGGCCAAATTTTCTCAAAAGTGTGCATTTTACAATGTCAGAGTGATGAAGTAAACAATGGTAATAATGAATGCTTTCAGTTAGATGTCAGCCCAGATAAAATGTTTGCCTTGTCTGGAAATAGCTATCTTTTCCTACCAGTTTTACATCCTTGTATTGTGCTCCTTCGCTATCAAATTAAGGCAAAAAGGGAAGGAGGGAGGAGTAAGAGAGAGGAGAGGGGAGAGTGCATTGATTCCTTAATATCTAGCTACTTGAGTAGCTAAAACTTAGTTATATATAAAGCTTCTTACAACTGACAAAGAGGTCACTGGGTCATTAGGGAACTGGTTCAAATATCAAGCAGTCTTGCTTCTCATCTGAAAATATGTCACCCTACAGCTGCTGCTCCCACAGTAGCCTCAGAGGTGGCCCCCAGTGACTAGGGTATCGGCTCCAGGTAAATATCAAGGGAAGGTTTCGGGGGGGGGGGGCGGTTAGGTGCCCAGGAGCCACTTCCTGTAGCAGCATATTCCTGAACCAGCAAGGGAGACATCCACACTAGACCAAGCCTTGTGACCCCCTCTACTCTCTGTGATGACTGTTCAGTCACTTTTCACCAAGCACCTGGAAGGATGTCTAGCCTGCTCCTGAATCTCTTTTAGAACTGCAGCCTTATGGGATTGGGTTTCATTCTAGAGACTTGTACAGGTGACGCAGATGTCTAGTTCAATGACTCAGCAGGTTCTTCAAGACTGTCTTGTACCCCCAGGCCCTATTTCACACATGAGGGCAACGACAGAAACTAGTAGTGATCCTGACAAAGACCAAGAAGAAAACCACTGATGCCATGTGGCATGCCATGTGGCAGCAGGAACTTTTTACAAGGCATTCAAGTTAACACAGGTGTATGAAATAGACGCCCTGACATCTGACTTAGAGAAAGTTCCTGTGGAAAAGGAAATGCCATGCTTCTAAAGGCTGCACTTGCAAGGGCCTCAACACAAAAAGCACTCTCACCCCCTAGAATTGGCCAGAGTCTTACAGCTAAAAGAGCTTCTTTCAGGAAGAAAAGTGTGGCAACAACATCGCAACATACAACAGTTGCTCTGGCAAAGATGGAATTTTGTTTTGGAGATTCAGAACAGGGGGTCAGGAAAAGGGAAATAACAGCTTTAGCTTTGCAACTTGGGGCAAGCCAACTAGAAGAGAGTTTTATCCTAGGGTTCTGATCTCTTGGGCTAAATTCTCAACCCTTCTCCAAAGCAAGCTCAGGGACAAACAAGACAAAACGGATAGAGCAGAGGAAGAGGAACCAACAAACTCAGACCTCAGGATTCTTCGTCATCAGAAGAAACACAAACAGGATGAGTGCATGTGTTTGATTTCATGACCCCGGATGTTGGCAGAAGTTGAGGGTAATTACAACAAACGCTCCGGCCCCCTTAGACAGTTAAATCAACTCTACTCCCCAGGTCACACTGCAGGCTGAGGGCACAGCGCTGAGATCTACAGGGGTCTTGCTCTTTGCTTAGGAACAGGATTTTCTGTTTTAGTAGTCTGGCCTTGGCTTGACTCACCTGCTGCTCGGGCAAGAGGGCATGAAGGGCAATGTTGAGAGGGGACTGCTTATACAATAGTTAATCCAAAAAGTTCATGAACATGGAAACAAAAGACAAGCTTATCATATTGCAAACTAAAATGAAATCCCATGCAGAGTTTTGCTTTTTTAAAAAATTCATAGCATGTATCTACAGTAACCATTCTGGAGCTCCCACATGGAGCCCAATCTAGCTTAGCCCAGCCCACTTAAACAAACTCCTAATAATATATAAAAGACTTGCTTGGGGTGGTTCTGCTCCATCAACTGAACTGTTGCTTAATAAGGTCTCCTCAAGCCTATGAGGAAACTGTACATTTTCAAAAAAAAAAACAAGGCCACATTTCTGGAAGAAAAAAAAGGTTGGGGCCAGTATGTTGGCCCAACTAACTAATCCTCCACCTCCAAGGGCTGGAATCCCATATGGGTGCCAATTCGTGTCCTGGCTGCTCTACTTGCCATCCAGCTCCCTGCTTATGGACTAGGAAAGCAGTCAAGAATGGCACAAAACCTTGGGATCCTGCACCTGTGTGGGAGACTAGAAGAAGCTCTTGGTTCCTGGCTTCAGATCAGCTCAGCTCCAGCCATTGCAGCCATCTGTGAAGTGACCCAACAGATAGAAAATATATCTCCCTGTAAATCTGCCTTTCCAATAAAAATAAATAAATCTTTAAAAAAAAAAAGAAATGAAAAAAGCTGCTTAACTTTTGTTCATTCAATAAGAGACATCTATTCAGAGTACAAATGCATGAGATTGATAGGAGAGGCATACATACTTGTAAGGGCAAGAAGACATGAAAATTCTCTGCCCACTGGCTCCCCCTGTGGGTTGAACCAAACGACTTTTCCTGAATCAACTTTTTAGAAATGTTTGTGTAGGAGCTTGTGCCATGGCATAGCAAGTTAAGCTTCCTCCTGCAGTGCAAGCATCCCATATGGAAGCTGGTTTATCGCCTATCCAGCTCCCTACTAATGACCTGGGAAAGTAATGGAGAATGGCTTGAATCCTTGGACCCCTACACTCATGTCAGAGACCCAGAAGAAGTTCTTGTCTTAGAACTGTCCCAGCTCTAGCCATTGTAGCTATTTGGGGAATGAACCAGCAGATTGAAGAATTCTCTGTCTCTCCTCTCTCTGTTCTAACTCTGCCTTTCAAACAAAAATAAGTAATTCTTCTAAAAGTTCATGTAAAGTTCACATCCTGAAGCACATCAGTGCCACATCTGTGGCATATCAGGCTAAGCCTCTAGCTGCACCACTAGCATCCTATATGGGTAAGTGTTCGAGTCCTGACTGCTACACTTCCCATCCAGCTCCCTGATAATGCCCTGATAAAAGCAGCAAAGATGGCACAACTGTCTGGAGCCCAGCAACTCACATGACAAACCTGAAAGAAGCTCCTGGCACCCGGTACTTGGGTTTAACCTGGCAAAGCCCCAGTCATTGCAACTTTCTGTAACTTTCAAATAAATACATAAATATTTCGGGGGGAACAAAAAGATATTCACATTTAGCACAAACTAACTTCAGGAGGACCTAAACACAGACATAGTCAGCCTACAAACCACCAGTTCACAACATGTAAATAGACTAAACTTTTCCTATTCTTGAGGTATTTCCAAGTCAGGGGCCAGAGACATAGGTGCTTCATTATGTAAGCTGGCCCTTGTGTCAATCACCATTGTGATGTCCACTTTTTCAGAGTCATGCTTTTATGTGCTCACCAACTAAGATAAGTTTCTAGCAGAAAAGTCTGGACTCAGAAGGACAGAAAGCCTCAGTGATAAGCGACAGAGCACATCACCTACCTCATGCACAGGGCGCACTCTAGGTCAGACACGTCAAAGGATGCACGTGAAATACCACAAGCAGGTTTCATCTCCTGACAGGCCGGAGGATCTGTGATTTAGAAAGCAGTCAGTCAGAGTTGGGCCAACCTTGTCTTCAGACGTGACTTGGGAGGCAGAAGAATCCAACTCGTTTTTAGGTTTGCCTCGCTCACCAGCTGTGGAGGGCCCTTGACAATGGTAGCCCCTGGAGTAAGTACCCTCTCTCAGAGGTATCCAGCAGCCCCCATTGAAAAAGAAGACAAGAGGGGCCTGGCGCGGTGGCGCAAGTGGTTAAGGTCCTCGCCTTGCACGCCCGGGATCCCATATGGGCGCCGGTTCTAATCCCGGCAGCCCCGCTTCCCTTCCAGCTCCCTGCCTGTGGCCCGGGAAAGCAGTCGAGGACGGCCCAAAGCTTTGGGACCCTGCACCCGCGTGGGAGACCCGGAAGAGGCTCCTTGCTTCGGACCGGCATAGCATCGGCCGTTGAGCTCACTTGGGGAGTGAATCATCGGACGGAAGATCTTCCTCTCTGTCTCTCCTCTCTGTATATCCCGCCTTTCCAATAAAAAAAAATAATAAAAATAAATCTTTAAAAAAAAAAAAAGAAGACAAGTGAAGGAAGGTCTAGCAGCCCCAGGGACTCCATTCAGACGTGGCAGGGCCACTTCATTCACAGTGGTGGCAGTAACAAGGCAATTCCTCGAAAGAGACAGAATCATGGCGCCACCAGCCACTCTGGGCAACATACCAAGCCACAGCAGCTGCATCTCAGATTACCTACTGAGGGGAGCACAACTGGGACTGATCAGGGTGGGAGGCCTGACCGTGCTTCCTTCATCCTACATTCCTGGAATAGGCATGGGGGTCAGGAGAGCTTGATCTGAAAGAAGTGACTCTGTCAATGATATGGAATGACAATATTATGTACTGTGCTTGACCTTGTGGCTTGACTTTCCATTTTAATAATAATTATTAAGTTTGTGGGGGAGGGTGAGCATGGTGGTATACCAGGATAATCCTCTACTTGTGGTGAAACCATCCCACATAGGTGCTGGCTTAAGTTCCAGGAAATTCACTTCCTATCTACCTCCCTGTTTATGGTCTGGCAATGAAGCAGAGAATGGCTCAAGTCCTCGGACCTCTGCACCCACGTGGGAGACCCAGAAGAAGCTTCAGGTTCCTGGTTCCAGATGGGCTCAGCTCTGACCATTACAGCCATTTGAGGAGTAAAACAGAGGATGGAAGATTCAGAAAGATTCATTTTCTCTTCCTCTCTTTCTGTCTTTCTCTCATTCTCTCTCTCTCTCTCTCTCTCTCTCTCTCTCTCTCTCTCTAACTCTAATCCTACCCTTCAAATAAAAATGAAATAAACCTTAACAATAATTATTACTGAGGCTGGTGCAATGGTTCAACTGCTTAACGCTGCACCTACAAGCACCAGAATCCCATATGGGCACCAACCCAGCTGCTCCACAACATCCCATCCAGCTCCTTGCTTATGGCCTGGGAAAGCAGTGGAAGATGGCCCAAGGCCTTTGGACCCTACAACCTTGTAGGAGACCCAGAAGAAGCTCTTGGCTTCTGACTTCAGACTGGATCAGCTCTGGCCATTGTGGACACTTGGGGTGAGAACCAGCAGACAGAAGATCTTTCTCTCTGTCTCTCCTATCCTCTGTAAACCTCTTTTCCAATGAAAGCAAGTACATAATTAAAAATAATAATGATTAAAAAATTAAAAAATAGTAGACATGGTATGTGGTCTTATATGAATCTCTTAGCAACCCCTAAGATCAGAGCTGACCCAGAGCTGGGCCACACACCAAAGCACAAGGAGTGCCGTCACGGGCAGTAGTAAAAACTTGCATCCGTGGGCAAACCCGGGGCATCTCCTGCAAACTACTTTCTCCCCCAGGGGAGTCAGTACCTTGCTTAGAGGCTTTATTAGGCACCTCCGTGTCTTCTCGGGGTTCAATTTGGCAATGTTTCCTTTTCTTTTCCTGGCATTTGCCAGTCTTGATGCAGGCAGCTTCTGGAGAGGCAGCATCCTGCTTCTCCTCCCCTTCTTCTTCCTCACCTTTCATGTCGTCTTGCTGACCGTCCACCCTTAATTTAGCTGTCTTCATCAGGCTGCTGCCATCTCCCTGCTCTGCTGCTTCGCCCCAACTAGAACAGTGCAGCAGCTCTAGATTTTCCTGTATGAAGAAAGAACCAAATGGTAGTGGCTACTCACAACCTATATTGTCCTGCGATATTCCTACTTGAAGGGGACAAGAAAGCAAACACTTTACAGATTCATAGGTCAACCAGAGGGCAGCTATAACTCTTATTTCATATTTCCTATCCACACAGCATCTATGACAAAGGCACACCCAGCTGGGATGCAGTTAGGAAAATTCCCTTGGCAAGAGCAGAAAGGCATGTGGGAGGAGTGGTCCCTTAAACGGTTGAAGAAGAGGCAAAAAGAAGGGCAGATGTCCCCTCTCCTATCTGCATTATTTACCAGTGACCACTTTAAGGAAAACCAAGGCATGCTTTTAGTCACTGTCAGTGCTATTCACAGCCATCTGCTGTGAATCTCCCAATCACAAGTCCAAATGGCCTTATGGCATATATTCTCTATTCATAGGCCTGCCAAGTCACCTCACACTCCAGTGCTACATATTATAGCAGCCAAATAAACAAGGGGCCGATCCCTCCTTTCACTAGATTTTAGGTGAAAAGTCCATAAAAGAGAAAATCATTTGATAAAAACAAACAATAATGTTCTTAGCCTTTGAAAGGTTCCCCCACCCCACCACCCAGCACAAAGGATATTTGAAAATAGATCGAGCCAAATGCAGTGGCACAACAGGCTAATCCTCCTCCCTGTGGTGGTGGTATCCCATAAGGCACCACTTCGTGCCCCAGCTGCTCCACTTCCCATCCAGCTCCCTGCTTGTGGCCTGGGAAAGCAGTGAATGGCTCAAAGTCTTGGGAGCCTGCACCCACATGGGAGGACTGGAAGAAGTTCCTGGTTGTTAGGATCAGCTTTGGATCAGCTCAACTCTGACCACTGTGGCCGTTTGGGAAGTGAATCAGGGAATAGAAAATCTCTCTTCTCTCTCTGTAAAATCTGCCTTTCAAATAAAACTAAATATATATATATGTTATATATATATTTAATATATATGTATATATAAGAAAATAGATCTAGAAATAAATCCAATGACAACATTTTTATGCAGTTTACCTAGAAAGTCCCTCTCCAATCTAAATCTATAATCCATATGCAAAATACACATTTTGTTGCTTATGCTCCGATCTCTACCAGAAACAAAGTGCTAAATGGATTTTAAAAAGGATGGGGCATACAACTGGGAGAAAACAATGAGGTGAGACAAAAATGGTGATGGATTTTCTCATGCTGTAACCTGGAGAGGTCAGGTGTTTCCCAGCACACAACAATTTCACTAACTCCACTTTTCATGAGCCCAAGGCATCTTTCACTGTAGGCATACTCTGCTTTGCAAAACAAAATCTGAGTAGAAATCCACACACTATACCCCAGCTGGCTCATGTTGGAAAGCCAGGGTGGTATTTTTCTCCATTTCAGACAAAGCTGCGATATTACAAGTCACTCTAAGCACTTGAGTGCAATATTAACATTTCCAATCATGTAAAGATCACTGGGGAGTCTCTGATTTCAATAGATAACTCTAAGTTTGGGGTGTGTTTTAAGACACACACAACTGCATTTAATTCATCCCCCAGGGATGGCAAAGAGACCTAGGAAATGGTGAGCGCCTAGGGCTTACTAGTGAGAGAGGACACTAGGCAAAAAGTAGAGGGAAAACAGTTTCTTAAAGGCATGCAACAGTTCAGTGCTAAACTCTGCCTTTGAGTCTGGACCTTGGAGTCCCAGCTTCAGCTCATCACTTTTGGGACAATCAGAGCCTGGAGCTCATCCGTTCGCTGCTTCCTTATTTTCAAATAAAGGCACACATGCTTTTTTATCTTCCTCCCTGTAATTTCAACTCAACACTCTTCCCCAAACCCTTGCCTCTTCTTTGTCACAAATCCCTACGTATGCATGAGGCACAGTGTAGGAGTAGAAAACCATCTCCATTTGGCGATCAAATGGAGTTGCCTTAGCAAAAGGATCTCAGCTGCAGATTAGCTCACCTCCAACCATCAAGATATTTAGGGAGTGAATATCCATTTAGGGGATGGAAGATCCTTCTCTCTGTTTCTCCTTCTCTCTGCAAATCTGCTTTTCCAGTAAAATACAACAATTTTTTTTAAAAAAGTTAATTCCTTAGCCAAGAACACAACTAGTGATTACATTTTTTTTTCTTTCTCATAAACCAAAGTAGAAGAGGTAGGCTACTGCCCTAATTTGTACATAAAACAATCAAATGAAGTACCACAAGCAAGTTGGATGAGTTAAGCTTTACCTGTGACAACTTGGGTAGATTATGGCTGGTGCCTTCAGTAGCCATTGACTCTACTTGTTCCTTTAGTCTAGGGTGAGGTGCCAACAGCTTCAGGATAGCAGGAGAATGTTCCTGAGAAGGCCCCGGAACTGATGGTGTAAAGAAACTAAGAAGAAGCTGTGACATAAAACAGAAAACTTCACTACTTAGGTTTCTGTGGGTGTCCAGGTTAAGAGGGGGAGGGCAGGAAGGGAAGCAGAGGCCACAGCCTGCAGAGCATAAATACAAGGGCCAGTTACCCCTGACCCACCAGGGCATGGGCCCTCCCCATCATGTGTGCATCAGACTGAGCTAGGGAGCTGAGCAGGAACCCAGCGTCCTGTTTCCCACTTCCATAGTCCCCAGACTCCCAAGTAGGGCCTAGAACTCTGGGTTTTGAGAAGGTACTACAGATGTCCCTAGATCTAGCCAAGGTTGGAAGCCAGCACTCTGGAAAGCCACCATTCCACAGAATTGTCTGCAATGGGAGTCTAGCACCTATCTGAGAGGAACATGCAGATAAAGTCATGAGCCAAATCTCTGCTCAAGAACCTGGAGTCTTGACCATAACCCCCCAGGTGGGAAGAAGTCTACAACTGTTTCCTAGGTTCCTTTCCTCTGCCTACTTATTTTAATTCTGCCTCTTTTCATCATCACCCCCTGGATCTTTAATCCATTCAGAGCAGGGAAGGTGAGCAGTGAAGTGTCAAGAAAGGGAGAACTCAAACTTTCTCCCTCTTCTCCCAGCCTCTCCCACATCTTAGCCACTACTTTCCAAAGAATGTCTCAGGTTAAGTTCAAATATCCAGGGCAGGCAGGTTCCAGCCTATTCCTGGTTTCCATTATGAGTATGCTAGTAGGGCACAACGGCAAGAAGCATAGGGGACAAGGAGTCAAAGAATGTGCATTTTCTTGCAGACTCTACCATTAACTGCCCACATTCTTTCTTCAGTTTTCTCCTGTGCCAGCAGGGGTTGTGGCTACGCAACAAAGAGGGCAGGTCACTTGATCTCTAAAATATAGTCAGGCATTTAGCACCTGGCCCCGCCCCTGCTGTATGCAGATTTCCACTGCATTGTCTTGTCCAAGGTATATGGATAAAGTATTAATTGACCAAGGAAATTTGCCAGAACCCCAAACACCACATCCTCCCCAGCAGTTTTTTCATGATGCTCATTTGTATTCAAGTACTAACCATATGACCAAGTCCTGCCAAACCTTCAGAACATAACTCCAAATTGGTGCCCCTTACTACTCCAATCTCTCTGATCTTTCCTGTTCTGCCCCTTTTCTCTCCTGCAACCCAACAGAGCATCTTAAACTATACCAACTTCTTTTGTCCTGGAACTGTGTGGCAGATGTGAGCCTTTCCAGCCAGATGACCAGCTTCTGAGGGTACATAGAAGATGTTCAATAAACACTCCTCACATCACATGGAATTCAATTAAGATATTCACCCATCCCATGACCAAAAATCCTCATAAAGACGTCTATTTTTCCTTCTAACTCTGGGAAACTCAGTTGGCAAGTACAGATTGGCAAAGGATTGAGATGGTACACTCACAGATCCTGAGCCACAAATACTGGCTTTTATGAATTCCTTTTCCACAGGGTCAAAGCTGCCCCACAGAAGCCCTTACTAAGTGGTCCAATAGGCCCAACTGTCTTCTGAAGCAGCTTCCCTGGAATTTTGCATACATGAGCATGATGATGAAGCAAGAAGCCATGAGGATAAATCAAATGAAACAAGGCAAAAATAATAATGGCCCTTCCCTTCACCCTGCTACCTAACATGCCTTTCTAAGATGCTACCTAAGTGGCTGTAAAAATCAAAAGTTGGGATCAACTCTCAGTAAGAATAATCATTCCATGTGAATGAAAGTCAATTCCACTTCAGTGTCAGCCTTAGAAGGGCCTAACTGGGTCAAGAAGGAAAAAAATTAAGTGAAAACAAATCCTCCAGATCTCTGAGTTCTAAGGGAGTTTAGCGCCAAATGAACCGGGGACTATCACCATCAAATATTTAGCCCTGAGACTGAAAGATTCGGTTAATAAACATAGTTGAGGACCCTCAGTGGTCTTAAATGGCTGCTGTGTTCTGTGGCCTCACACTGGAAACACAAAAGTGGAAACGTTAACTAAATTCTCATGCTTACTTCAGAACACCATGATGCTCTTGGAAATGTGCTTACTTGTAATGCCTGACATTCCTACGAACAAACACAGGCTTATCTACTCCTGGAGGACTGAAACTGTGGTTTATGCCTCTTTGAGTCTTCAGAACTTGACACAATGACATACAGTATCTTGCTAACTGTGGAAATGACAACAACCGGTCTACAAAAGTGGCCTGGAGCAAGGGGTCTAGCCAGCTGAGGATGCCCGAACCTCTTGGGTCATCTCAGACCTGAAAACTGCCTCTTCTAGCCTCTGCGCCTTCTGTGTCATCAATGTCAAGGCACACCTAAGTACCCCTGTTCATCCCAGAACTGGATAGTTCCACTGGCTGCTCTTGGTCTAGCCCTACCAGTGAGCACTGAGGCTCTAGTTATGTCTGCCTGTGACCGCATGATGCTGGAGCAGCTAAAAGGGCAGGCTTTGGAAGCAGACAGGGTTAGGCATGAGTATACTTCCACCAATGCCAAGCTGCTTGACCTTGGGAAAGTCACCAAATCTCAGCTTCCTCACCTGTCTCATCTACATCATGGAGATGAATAACTGTATCTGCTTCCATAGGGATTTGCTGAGGATTCATTTCTATCTGCCAGATAAAGTGCCTATGACACGGCTGGCATATAGAAAGCCCTCAAAAAAAAAGTTAGCCACTACTGTTATTATTCTCACTATGGCTTGTAGTTAAAATTTAAGTAGGGGTTGAGAATTCAACTTGGAGCAATTCTCCCGCAATTACATTCCTCTCAAGCAAAGCTTGTCTGCATGCCCAAACAGGTCAAAGTTAAAACAAACAAACAAACAAACAAACAAACAAACAAAACCTTCCAAAAAGAAAATCCTCTGTGAGCAATAGAAAATCCAGAGATCTGCTTCTCCTGCTTCATCGATTTTGCTGAAGCTTCCCCCCCAGGAGCCTTCAGAAATCAGGTCTAACTGTTGCTCACTTCTTCCTGCACTGTTTTGCTAAACTACACAAAGACAGAAACCCTGGGGGGCTGCTGCTTAAAGGCAGCAGGGCCTGAGAGCAGAGACAATTACTGTCCGCATTCAAGTGGCCGGCCCATTAGCCAGACACTAAGAGAGTACACTGCAAAGCAATAAACAATAAAGTTCATGAATTAAGGATGCTTGAGTCTTCGTTCATGCTATTTCAGTTGGGTTTTTGTATAGGGTACCAATCACCTTTTCCTGGGACACAGGATTTAGAACACCTATTTGAGACTACTTATATTATGTTATAATGGTCTCTGACTTGCATTTGTGAGATGCATTTCATTTCCAACAATAGAGCTAGAGACAGGAGCTGTACATGCAACAGGTGAGGTGGGGGCCACCAATGTCACTGCCTAATTACAGGCTGCACTGTGTGGCTGGTGAAACTCTGTACCTCATCACTCGCTAAGAGCCGGAGTCTTGTCAGTGAGCTTAGACCCTCATGTGAACTAGATTGTTTTCTTCTTTTTTATTTGTTTGTTTGTTTCTTTGTTTATTAATGATCCAGATACTGAATCAAAGAAGCCAACTCATTCCTCATAGGTTTCTACAAAATGCAAGAACTTCCCTATCCAAGCGCATAGGCCAATAGGAAAAGTGTTTCTGGGCACTCAGATGGTACTCATGTTTCCCTCCTGCCCACCCACTCATGCATCCAAAATGCCAATGAATATATCCTTACTCCCCTAAACAGAGGGGAAAAAAAGGAGAGGTCGGGCATGTGGTTCTATAAGTAGCTGTGCCAGAAGTCATTTCAACTCACCTTCTGGGCTTCCAATCTTGCTCTCTTGTTCTTGTTATCCAGGGACACACAATACAGAAACTCTCGTAGTGCTTCCTCCACTTTACCTAGAGTAGCTAAGGCTTGTGCTTTTCTGAAGTGTGCCTGGAAGAAAGCACCAGTACTCAGTTCCAACCTTTGTATGCTACACACGCTGGGAGTTTGCTAATAGTAACAACTGTTAAATTCTTAGTGAGTAGTCACTATTGTGTAAAACATTTAAAAAGGACTCTGTTATCTTCAGTCTTATAAATTAGGCATATTGTGAATATCATTCTATAGAAAAGAAAAAACTGAGAGCCACAAAAGTAATTTGCCCAAAGTAATACAACTGGTCAATTATGTAAACAGGCTTTGAACCTGCGACTAATATCAAGCTCATAGTCTTACCATGCTACCTTCTCTCTGCTCCATCCTTTGCATAGAAGTATTACTAAATCAAGTGAGTGCTCCCATTGGACTGTGTAGTATAAAGCTTCCAAGGCCCTCCCCTTTGAGTTAATCAGTCAAGCAGAAATCTAGTGAGCATCTAGTACTGATCTCTAACTCTTCAAAGGTAGTCAGTGGCAAAGCTAGAACTAAAACTGCACTCTTAGAACTCCCAGAATGCTCTTCCCCACAAAGTAAGCTGTCTTTCAAAGTGGTTAAGCAAGGACCCTGTGTGGTAGCCTAGTAGCTAAAGTCCTCCCCTTGCACATGCCAGGCGCTAGTTCTAATCCCAGCAGTGCTATTTCCCTTCCAGCTCCCTGCTTGTGGCCTGGGAAAGCAGTCAAGGATGGCCCAAAGCTTTGGGACCCTGCACTAGCATGGGAAACCCAAAAAGAAATTCCTGGTTCCTGGCTTCAGATCAGATCAGCTCCAGCCACTGTGGGCACTTGAGGAGTAAACCAGTGAATGGAAGATATTTCTCTCTGTCTCTCCTTTTTCTTTATAAACCTGATTTTCCAATTAAAAATAAATAAATCATTTAAAAAGTGGTTAAGGAGAGTTTGGTTAATATAACTTTTTAAAATTTTATTTATTTGAAAGGCAGAGTTGTACAGAGAGGAGAGGAAAAACAGATGTCCACAATGGCCAGTCTTAGGACAGGCTGAAGCCATGGCTTCATTTAGGTCTCCCATATGGTGCAGGGGCCCAAAGATTTGGATCCTCCTATCCTGCTTTCCCAGGAGTATTAGCAAGGAGCTAGATTGGAAGTGTAGCAGCCAGGACGCAAATAGGCTCTACAATACTACAATAGGCTCCCACAATACTGGTTCCACCAATGCTTTCACTCCTAGCGAATCAGCTCACCCCTCTCTCTCCACATCTTTAAAAAGAAAATGGAGGGGAGAGGAGGAAGGGAAGAAGGGAGGGCAGAAGGAAGGAAAGCAAGAAAAGAAGGAAGGAATGTAGGTAGGTAGGAAGGAGGGAGGGAGGGGGAGAGAGAGAGAAAAAAGCAGGCAGGCCTGGCTCAGTAGCCTGGTAGCCTAGTGGCTAAATCCTCACCTTGCGTGCACCTGGATTGGCTGTTCCACTTCCCTTCCAGCTCCCTGCTTGTGGCCTGGGAAAGCAATAACGGATGGCCCAAAGTCTTGGGACCCTGCACCCGCGTGGGAGACCTGGAGGTAGCACCTGGCTTCTGATTGGCTCAGCACTGGCCATTGCAGCTACTTGGGGAGTGAACCTTCAGATAGATCTTTCTGTCTCTCCTTCTCTCTGTATATCTGACTTTCCAAGAAAAATAAATACATCTTTTGAAAAAGAAATTTTAGGGGCCCGCAGAGTTCAAGCTGAAGAGTCCCCGGAAAAGGCACTAGGGAAAACAGAAGTTTTTGAGAAAGTGGGAGAAAGAAGAGAGAAGAGGGATAGCTTCTATTTTTCTTTGAACAGGTATCTGCTGGAAATTCAGCTAGGAAAGCATTCCTCTTGAGCCACATAGGCCACCCCTGGGTGACCTACTCCCTTGCCTTGCCTCCATGGCTGTACTTAAACCTAACTTAAGAATGACCCAGGTTGCAACGGCTGGGCACTCCCCTGCCTCTCCTTCCACCATGCTTCTGTAGGCTTAGAGCCCTTGAGCTCTGGCCTGGCTATAGGAATTGGTTAAAGGCTGCCTTCTTGCATACCAGTCCCTGCACTAAATGTCTTGCAGACATCTTCCTATGGCCCCACCTCTTGTGGATGCTAGTACTGGCTGCCTGCTAGGCAGATGCTCCCTAATTGCACCTTCCCGCACTGTTTACCAGGGAACTTCGGAAGAAAGCCTTGTATGTAATGGGAGAGTGGAGAGGCCTCTGGGCTCTCGTAACCATACCAAATAGCAACTCATATCCTCCATGTGGCAGCTCACCCCACTGACAGCTGTGCCACCACGGGCTGAGAACCAAGGAGCCTGGCTAGATGGGCCAGAAAAGGGTTTCCACATGAATCCCCTCACTGCACAAAGAAATTATGGGAAATATACAAACTGGAGGAAGTATGATGTGGTTTAGAATTATACCCATCATTTCAAGCCTACCCCTTTCCCCAAGACAATGGGGTTTTCTTAACATAAACTACCTGATCAGTATGGGAAAAATGAAACTCCTGTTTAAGATTCCTCAGGTGGGCCCAGCACGATAGCGTAGTGGTTAAGGTCCTTGCCTTGAACGCACTGGGATCCCATATGAGCACTGGTTCTAATCCCGACAGCCCCACTTCCCATCCAGCTCCTTGCTTGTGGCCTGGGAAAGCAGTCAAGGACAGCCAAAAGCCTTGGGACCCTGCATCTGCGTGGGAGACCCAGAAGAGCTCCTGGCTCCTGGCTTCGGATCAGCTCAGCTCTAGCCGTTGCGCTCACTTGGGAAGTGAACCATCGGATGGAAGATCTTCCTCTCTGTCTCTCCTCTCTGTATATCTGCCTTTCCAATAAAATAAACAAATCTTAAAAAAAACAAAAAACAAAAAACAGATTCCTCAGGCTTTGGCCTGGTCTTGGTTATTGTGGTCATCTGGAGAGTGAATCAATTAATGGAAGATATCTCTCTCTTTTTCAAATAATACATAAATAAATAAATACATCCTTCTTTAAAAATGAAAAGGACATGCAAAATTCACCCTAATATTAACGACAGTATATGGAGGTTCATAATGTTTTATCTTAAGTTCCAAAATACAAAAGGGTTTGACAACCCCTTATTTTCACACACTTGACATGGAAATTCATCAAGTAACAGAACCTAAATTAAACTGATAAAATATATTTTCAACTATTTGTCCATCTTGATGTGAATGTGCATGTAGTAGGTTTTGACTACTAGGCACTGCGCAACAATCACTGAAAGTATGATATTTGTATAATCAAAATTGCAGTGGGTTGTGCATACACCTGGTGCCATCAGAGTAGGCTGGGACAAGTTGACTTCCCAAGGAGAACACCCTGGGATCAGATAGGTAAAGCACTATACCAAGACCAAGCTGGCTTCTCAGACTGCTCTCTAGGCCACCAGCCACTTTTGATCCCTGTGAGACAATCAGGGCAGATAGAAATAGCTTTGTTTTGTAAACAAGGATACTTGGGATTCAGACAGCAAAGCCACTTACCTTTGGTCACTAAGCTTGCAAGGAACAGATCCCAGGGTCAAATATAATCTTCTAAGTAAAATATGGCTTAGGGCCAGCAGAGATGCAGAAATCGACCCTTTGTATCCTAAGCATCCTGGCAGATTCCTAGCCTATCTCTCCCCACTTCTGCTACAATACTTAGACGTGTGGGAATTCAGGGAGGCACACTGAATACTACATTAAGGACTGAAAACAGCACAACTGTGTTGTGACAGGGAAGATCTTTTCAAAGAGGGTAAACTAACCATCTGAGAAACCTGGCTATCAGTGGTAGTTCAGGCCAGAGCAGCAACACTTCTCCCTCTCCCTTTTCTTGCCCCTGGAAGATGATGGTGATGACAATGGTGGTGGTGATAGGAAACATGTACGTACTGCTACATGCCAGGCACTGCTGCAAACATCTTACATACAGGTGCCCATGTCATCTTCATGGCAAGCCTAATTAGGAGATGCTCTGAATCCTGTTTTATAGGTGATGCAATGAGGCACAGAGAGGTTCAGTCATTTTCCCAAACCCAAACAACCTGTAAAAGCAACAGAGCCCAGACATGAACCCAGGCACTCTGACTTCCAAGTGTATCTTCCTGAGACTCTTGAGGGCCAGGCTACTCAGCAGGTCATCCACGGAATACTCAGTTAGGGAAGAATTCAGTTCCATTGCCGACCTGAGTCATCTTTGCAGAGCGACCCTCCACTCTTTTTACAAAGCTTTCTCTCTGTTGTGCCAGGGCTCTGGTGTCCCTCTGCCCCCAAGGAGGCAGTGCTGCCTCCCCATTCCTGCCTACTGTACAACACCTGTCCCACTCCTACCCCATCCCATACTCACCTTAAAACCCATGGGACGGAGCCTGCACGCTATTTCTGCATCTTGTAATGCAGCTTCATGAGATTCCAAGGTGAAATAAATTTGAGATCGGTTGCTATAGAGCAAGTGGTCATTTGGAGCTGCCAAGATGAGAAAAACAAGTCCTCATTAATAGTCCCCAACATAAGAATGTGATAAGACTCACACAAAGATGGAGCTTGAGCAAACAACAAGGTATCTGGGACTTTTCTTTGAAGAATCCAATGTTATATCCATGCTTCATCATAATATTGCTCTGTCTCCCACAGCCCCAGCCACTCAAGGTCTACGTGTTTCCAACTGCAGAGTGAAGCTTCTTGCCCAGCCTGGAAGTTTCTGCAGTGCCTGTGGCATGTTAAGGCACTCCAAGCTAGGAGAAATCCTAGCAGCCTGCTTCATGGCTACACGGAGCTAATGCAAACAGAATGGCTTCTGGGGAAAGCATAATCAACAAAGAAACAGGCCATGGAAGAAAGAAAGGGAGGGGGCTAGATGGAGCCTCTAGCCTGACCTTCAGGAAGACAAGTCCAAGTTAGCCTTCTAGGTAGGAAAACTGGTGACATTAGCAATCCTGTCCATCTACAAAGCCCGTAGGAAATTCGCCTGAAGAAAACAGAAATGCATTTACAAAGTCCAACCCTGTCAGTACAGATGGTTAAATGTGAATGAATTTGGACAAGACATCTGGGAGAAAAGGTAAGGCTGGCTCACAGCAACATCCTGAAAGATGCTAGACTAATGACCTGACTCCGTCAACCCATTCTTGGGATGGGGAAAATCAAGGCTAGAGAGGGAAAGGAATTGGTTTATAATCGCACAGCTTGCTGATCAGAGTGGTTGTTAACTAGTCAGACACTGAAGCTGGAGAGGGGGGAGTGAGGAGGATAATAGGTTCCTTTTTCTGTAGGTGTGTACAGCACTTAGGGGACACTGGCCAGCATCCAGAACCAAGGCTGGGCTGGAGAGGAGTCTCCTTTTAGAAGGGTAAAGTTGTTTTCGATATTTCTGCCCTGCTTGCTCCCAGAAAATTAACAGTTGGTGCAAGGAAAAACTGCCAGGGCCATGTGGTGTCAGAGGCAGAGGAGGCGGAAGGCCAGGAGAAGTTACCTGGTCGGCGGCAGGTGGGCTCGAAGGAAGGGGTCTTCCCTTGCATAGGTGACCTCTGCCTGTCTCTTCCCCTACCCCCTTGCTTTGATGGTTTACCCTCCAAACAGATTCTGAGAACTTGCTAGAAAGCTCATTACTTGTTCTCAAAAACAGCAGCAAAGAATTGGCCGTCTTTTCTGTCCCTTAACTTTTCTGTCCTTTAACAGCACACTCCAGCCCCATGGCTGCTCAGTCTTACTGGTGCACAGGCAGGAGTAGGTGGGGGCCAGCTCTGTGCTGTCCTCTCCGCCCCCGCCCCCATTACTTGTTACAAGTTTGGGAGATTCAACATGCGGACGCTCCAGGCCACCTCCCCACCCCCCCCCACCCCCCCGTCAGCCATCAGAATCCGGTCCAGCATGCCCTAGACTCCCAGTTCCTTGCCTGCCACTGCTTCCCCCCAACCCCCCGCAGCGCGCTTCTTCAGACAGCGCGCCCAGCAGGACTGAACTCCTGCCAGTCTGCCCTCCGCTGGGCACTATCAGCCGGCGTATGGACGGCCACTTCCTGGGTTCCGGGCTTGTGGGACCCATGGATACGCGCCGGGAGAGAACTCGGGTGCCTAGCGCGGGTCCGAGGGTGTGTGACTGGGCGGGTTGGGGTGGGGGCGGTTCCCATCGCCCTTGAAGCTGCGACGACGCTCACAGTTCACCTCTGGCAGCCAGCAGCAGCCAGCCGGAGCGGGGGTGTGCCGCACTCGGAACCGATCTCCCAGTCCCGGGAGATCCCAAGGCAATGACCTGGCCGGGTCGCGCACGGGGTGCACGGGGCGCGAGGGGTTGGAAGCCAAGGCGCAGGCTGCGGGCTGACTGGGGGGGGGGGGCAGGGAAAGCGGAGAGGAGGCATCTATTTCAGCCGAGGAGCGTGTGATAGGAAGCGGTGACAATGAGTCACAGGGCAGCGGGGCGCGAGCGCTCTCCCCCTCCCCCCGCACACGCTCGCGGGATGGTTTCCGAGGCAAGCGTGGCCCACTTCGGTTACCTCAGCCGTTACACAATCCCGTCCGCCCGCGCGGAGGAGGGGCCGCCCGGCCCGGGCCGCTCGCCGTCCTTATGCAACCAGTGCTCTCCTGACCTAATTCCACGCCGGACCCACCCCACAGGGAGCCGCGGCCCCCGGAAGGGCTAACTCCCGGCGGCGGGAGCGGCAGGCGCAGCCGCCGCCGCCAAGCGGAGCTCTTCGGCTGCCTGGGATCCGCAGAGGTCCCGGCGCGCCAAGTGTGCGAAGGCGGCGAAGTTCCTAGCGCGCCGGACTGGGAAGGTGCCGGCAGGTGGAAGAGGGAGGGGACCCCAGGGAGTGCCGCGGCAAGGAGAGAGGGAAGTAGAGCCCGGCGCCGAGCGGGGCGGGAACGGAGTCACGAAGAGTCAGAAAGAGAAAAGGAGACCCCAAAAGCCCCCAGGACACGCAGGGAAAGACCAACAGCAACACAGCAAAAACAGTTGCGCGCTTCAGACAAAAGTCCCAGAAAGCCCGCTTTCTGCCACCCCCCAGCAACGGTCCGTGCAAACCCACGGGTCCTCTGCTCCTCATCCCACGCGCCTCCAGTCCCGTCTCGCCACGAGGTTCATTCTCCCACCTCTCGAGTCCCGCCAACCCCGGCCCGGCCCGGCGGCGTACTGGGCTCACCTAGCTTGACTGCTTCATTGTACTTGAGCAGCGCCGCCTCCACCTGGCGCTCGCGGTACAGTCGGTTACCCTCGTGCCGGAGTTGCGAGGCCCGTGCCGGGCCCGGGAACAACTTGCTGAGGAGGCTGCTGAGCACCACGTTGACCCGCAGAGGCGGCAGCGGCTGCTGGCCACCCCTCCTGGTCCCGCGTGCCCACCCTGGGGCCACGATCAGCGCTGAGAGCTTGACTCCGCACAGCGCACAGCGCCGGTCGGCGGCCCGCCCGCGTTCCAGGCACAGTTTACAAAAGGTGTGGCCGCACGACAAGGACACGGGGTCCGAAAGAAACCCATGACACTTCCGGCACTTAAAACCTTCCCACACTTCGGTGGCCGCAGCCGCGGCCGCCAATGCCTCTTCCGTTGCCGAGCAGCGGCTGGCCGTGCAGCTCGCCTCCGAGGGCGCTGGCACCCCGACTGGCGGGATGTGTTCAGCCAGGCAGCGCACCAGCTGCTCCAGCTGCTCAGCCACCAGCTGCTGCCGCTCCGAAAGCCGCCTGTATACCTCGAGGGCTTCTCGGAGGCGTCCCCTGGACGCCAAGGAGTCAGCTTGCTTGAGCAGGACTTTGCTCTCCGGCGTCGACGTTTTCGCAGACGACTCGGGCTCCGGCTCCGGCTCCCGCGTCGGTTGGGATGCGGGGCCCTCTGGAGCCTCCTCGGAGCCGGGACCGCTGTCCATGAGGGCTGCTGAAGCCTCCCTCTCGTCCGGCTCCGCCACCTCCAAGTTGTTGGTGCCCACCTCAGCGGGTAAGCTCAGCATCTGTTCGGACTGAGAGGGATCCATGAGGGAATAGACTACATGCACAAGGGTGCACAGGCGTCTAGGGACTGGGGCTACAGGGCAAGGGGTGGCAGTTGGACAGACACCGGGCCGCCACGCGCTGAACCCCGCCGCGCCTCCGCCAGCTCCATGCCGGCCGCCCCGCGCCACCTAATAACTGTCTTGTCTCAGCAAAGTGTTATATAAAGCGCCACCACGTGACGCGCCAGCTCAGCGCTCATTGGCCGGCGGCGGGGAAATTGTTACAAAACCAGACAGTTTTGTAACCGCGTTGCGCTTGCTTCTCGGGGCTTCGCTTTGCTCGGCTTCTTTGGGGGATTGTTTGTGTTGACGCTCGGCCTGATTAACCCCCCGCACCTCGGAGGTTCCTTTTCGGGGGAAACCCAGGCAAATCATGGCCTCTCTCGGGCTCCTGCATCTCTCAAACTCCACCCCATCCCACCTTCGGAGTAGCAGCAAACAGGTCCCCTTGGTTAGGCGCTCGCTACCGGCGCCCCTAGACCCTCTCTTGAGGGAGAGGCTCGGGACCCCATGAGACTTGCTCGCTGGCTCGCTCCTTAGGGTCTACCTCCCCCACCCGGTGGCCCGCTGCCGCTCTCCACAAAGAGAAGCAGTTCGGCGGGCTCCTCGCGAAGTCTCTCCCTTCTGACTGCCTTCAACCCAACCCGGGAAACTCTGGGCGAATCCTCGCAATCACCACCACCACCGCCACTCCTGGGTCCCTGCCTTCCCCTGGAAGCCCACCCGCACCCCCCAAAAGGCAATGAGTGCACTTTTCTGGGGGTTCCTCCATTTACCTGTGCTGGAAGCCACTTAAAGCAGCTGGTCCGGCGTCCACAGAAGTTGGGTATCGCTTCTCCAGCAGGCAGGGAACGCGCGGAGATGCGCTCTGCTCCACTATCTTGCTAGGCGGCCTCTGAGGGAGGCGCACGTGCACAGGCCGCCCCTTACCCACACCCCACTCCATGCCGCCCATGCTCACCTCTGCCCCCAAGCCGGCAACCTGCGCTGGGGGGGATGGGAGGGGCGGGCTGCTAGCTGCTGGCTGGAGAATCCACAGGAGAGCTGCTGGCCGGTTGGGCGCGGCTTTGCTGGGCTTGGTGGGCGCTCTGGGGGCCTGTGAGCATGGCAGGCGGCTGGGCTGGAGCTCAAGTGTAACAGTCCGCAGAGCGGCCTGCAGGTGGCTGGCGCAGGAGGTAAGACTTGGGAGAGTAGGCTCACAGTGGGGGTGGTCCTGGGGAGAGGGGTCCTGGGACTGGAGGAGGGTATCCTTCACACTCCCTTAAGGCCAGCATAGTGGCCAAGGGCGTGTGCCATTTTGATCTCCCTCCTGATTGCCCCACATTCTCGAATGAGCAGACAAGCTTTACCAACCTTGAGGAATAAGGGACTCCCCATGGTCATGATGCCTCAAGACAGGTGTGGGTTTCCTCCTCCCCCCCCACCCCCGCACCTCCCCCTTGTTAGTCTGCCTGCAGATGCTGCATGTAGCCCTCGGGAAGCGCCAGGAGCTATGGCCACTTCTTAGCTCCGTTAACTTGGGCAAGTCACCCAAACTGGGGACCGCCATTGTCGCACAAATGTCAGGGATGATTTTAGCACGGATCAAGTCATGTTTCAGAGCTAGAGATGGCAGCCTCTTCATCTCTTTGAGTGGCCAATCCTGCCTTGAGGTCCCAATGATCAGGTCCCAAGGTCCCAAGGTCCCAATGAACAGGTAACCAACCATCAGAAGTTTTCTCTAATACAACAAGACAGGAGCCGGCCAGCACAATGGATTAGCAAGCTAATCCTTCATCTGCTGTGCCAGCATCCCATATGGGCTCCAGTTCTGTCTCAGCTGCTCCACTTCCCTTCCAGCTCCCTGCTTGTGGCCTGGGAAAACAATGGAGGATGGCCCAAGTCCTTGGGACTCTGTACCCACGTGGGAGACCCGGAAGAAACTCCTGGCTCCTGGCTTTGTCTTGGCTTAGTCCTGACATTTGCGGCCATGCAGGGAGTGAGCTAGTGGACAAACATTTTCTCTCTGTCTCTGTAAATCTTCTTTTCCAAGTAAATAAATAAATAAATATTAAAAAGACAGTAAAAGTGGAAAGATGGGAATTTAATAAGTAGGAGGAAAGGGAGACCAAGAAAATTAGCAGAAGCAGTCAGGGTGAACCCGGCATTATGTGTCTGCCTGCTCTCTCTGGAGCCTGTGAGGACAGACAGTATGTGGGGGCAGATAGAGACTTCTACTCAAGAGTCATGTGATGGATAACAATGAAAGCTGCAATTCAAGAGCTTTGCTTCTTTTGACATGCTTAACAGTACAGATGTCTGCTATCCCTGGCTTATTTTGCCGATGCAGATCAGGGATGCACCTTGCCCTGCCTTTCCCTGTTGGCAGTGCAGAGGAAAGAAGGCCAGAGTGGGCAGACAGGGTCCCAATCCTACAGACACTGAGAAGAATCAATCTCTCCAGGCTGCCCCTCTCGGCAGGTGCACGTGCATGATATTGACCGTAAACTTTGTCAGGAATGTCCATAGTCGTCAGGGTGCTGCAACTTGAATAGCTGTTGCTAAACACTACAGCAGGTTTGTGGCCATAGCTAGGAGGAGGCAAAGGGACGAGAGAAAGCACAACAGGTGTGTCTCTTGGTCCTGGCTGTGATAGATAATGTGTGTTTGACAGTTATGTATTTGAAAGAGCCTGTATTTGGTTTTGGAACTGAAAAATCCAGACGACGGCCTAACTCAGAAATGGTTGGAAGCAGGGCTTAGGGTGGTTTTCCAATTGTACTAAAATATACATAACATTTACCATTTTAACCACTCTTAATAAATCCATGACTTGGTGACACTAAGCACATTATTGCTGTTCTTCAACCATCACTACCATCCACCTCTTGAACTTTTTTCATCTTGGAAAATCCAAGCTCTACTCATATGTTCATTCAGAATGGACTTTCTAGTCTCGAGCTCGCTTCGGCAGCACATATACTAAAAAAAATTGGGACTTTCTAGTCTCCACTTCCCTAAGCTCCACCATGTTACTTTCAGTCTCTACCAATTGAACTATTCAAGGGAGCTCTTTTCGTTTATGTGACTGGCTCATTTCATTTAGCATAATATAATAACCTCAAGATTTGCCCATGTGGTAGCATGTATCAGAATTTCCTTGCTTTTTAAGGTGAAATGATATTCCATTGTATATATATATATATGATTGTATATATATACACATATATACACACACACAATGTATATACATAATATAATGTATACAATGTATATATACTATGTATACATATTATGTGTAGATATACGTAGTAACATATATACAATGTATATATATACTATGTGTATATATACATAGTATACATCATGTACTGTGTATATATACACAATGTATATATATTTACTGTGTGTATATATGTTACATTGTGTATATATATATGGTGTTTGTTCACTCAATTATCCATTGATACATACTTCAGTTGCTTCACCTTTTGGCTATTATACTATAAATCGAGCTGTACAAATACCATTTTTCTACCATGCCTTCACTCTTTCTTTTTGCTTTTTTTAGTATATACCCCAAAGTAGAATTGCTGCATCATATGGCACTTCTGTTTTATTTTTCTTTTTTGTTTGTTTTCTTTTTTTTATCTTTAAATTTTTTTTCTCTTTTATTTTTGAGGAACTTTCATAATATTATCCACAGTGGCAGCATCATTTTATATACCCACCAGTGGTGCATGGGGTTTCCAGTTTCTCTCATTCTTACCAACACTCCTTTTTTTCATGGTACCCATCCCAGTGGGTATGAAGTTGTCTCTCATTGCGGTTTGCATGTGCAGGTCCCTAAAGATTAGTGATGCTGAGCATATTTTCATGTACTTTTTCACCATTTGTATATGTGCTTTGGAGGGAAAAATAACTAGTCAAGTCATCTGCCCATTTTTAAATTGGGATGTTTTTATTATTGTTGAGTTTTAGTAGCTCTCGACATATTCTGGAAAGCAATCCTTTGTTAAATATCTATTTTTTTCTCCATTCTATGGGTTGCCTTTTCACTCTCTTGATAGCTTTTTATTTGAAGGGAGGGTTTGGATCTTGCATTAAAAAAATGTAGATTCAAGATATCTGGCAATGCGATATTTGGCAAGCTACCAAACCTCTCGAGTCGCCCTTAGAGTTTTTTTGTTTTTATTTTAAATCTGGAAAAAGAGAAAGATGATGCTGATGATGCTTATAATAGGATCCAGCTTGTAATATTGCTGTTACAATGAGTAATGAAATCATAAGTGTAAAATCTTATCACAGGGCCTAGTCCAAGCTGAATGTTCAATAAGTGATGGCGTCCTTTGTAGTATTGGATTAGAAAGAACCAGAATGATGTCATTGAAATGTGATATTAGTTATTAGCAAATATGTGAGTAGGACAATAATACTAAGCACTCTTAACACATTATTACCTAATGTTCAACACTAATGCAGTGAGTTTCTGTCCATAATGCATTTCATTTGTTTGGCAGCCTCTGATGGAAACCTAGTGATGAGTAAGCTGCAGTCCTGCTGAATTGAGTGGGAAAAATCAACCAGGAAGAGGGCAGCTTGCTATTTGGCAGATGAGTGCTAAGAAGATGGAAGCGTTGGGTGCCAGGGGAGCCCAGAAGAAGAGCAGTTCAGATTGTAGTATCACCTCCCAGATGGATAATACGAACATGGGATTCTGCAGCATCACAGGGAGGGAAAGGGGGACTGGGAGGAAATGAATATTATAGACAGAACAAGAGGCTGGCACAAAGCCTGGAGGTGAGAGTGACTGCTGCATTTAGGAATCCCTATTAGTTTGTTATGGCTGAGACCTAGAATTTGAGGTGTGCAGTGAGCCAGGGGAGCCAGGCTAGGAAGGATCTTGCAGATCAGGGGAGGGGTTGGTATTTTTATTCTGGGGAAAATAGGGAGCTACTATAAAGGGTTTGGGCAGATGAATGATGTGACTGGGTCGGTCATTTAGAAAGGTCTCTGGCTGCAAGCTGCAGAGAGAAAGGAAGTGAATACAGTTAAAGGAA